CCACATTGCAGGAACCGATTGATTGGAGGTACCGATTCCATATATAACTGGGATAAGGCCTATATCCCCACAAAATACGGCCAAACATATGGTACTAACTAAGATACCTCCATCTGTTGGATCCTGAAGATCTCCCATTGACTGAAGACTTGGCCAAGTTGTGGAGGATTGTGGAGCTTTCCTGTCAAAAATATCGATCAATAACTACAGGATGGAGCCCCATAGTTAGCGTTCAGTTGGTTTATAAGTGGCTGAATTCAATGGTTTATGGTAGATATAAGTATAGTTAATGGGGATCAATAACAACTACCCTCTGGTAATTTTAACATACAATGTGAGGCCCCCGTTCGATAGCTAAGTTGGTGAACATAACTCCAATTTCACTATGGTTTATGGTACTTATAACGAACTAGTTACTGGGGCTTATAAACCAACTTATAACTGGGGGGCCTCACATTGTAGCTATTGAAAATGGCCATTAATAGTTGAGTTTCCCGTTAAAAATAGTGATGTTCCATAGTTATGTAAACGTTTACCAGAGGGTAAATAAATCATATCAATTATCAATCAATCAAGAAAAATATGTTAATTGATAAATATATCGGAGTTTTCTTCCTATTCTTCCAATGCAACAGTTATCAATCAAAAAATATGTCTAACATGTCTAACTACCCATCAATCGGTCAGTCTAGGATCAATCAATCATTCAATCTATCAGCTAGATATCGAAGATACTGAAGCGGACAAAATCTGGGATTTCACCCGCCAAAAATTGGTGTTGCCAAAAGCATTGCGAATTCTGTACCAAGATTGATCAAGTGACTGACTGAATTACTATCATATTCACCAACTTGAAATATGCGCGGATGCGCATGGAATATCTTGGAATCCCGTGAAACATCACAGGATGTTCTCATAAACTCGCCACGACATGACTCAAAAACTGCTGCCACATGACACCAAAATTCCCATCATATCTCGATAAAATGGTGTGGTATCCCCAAATGCTCCATCCCTATGGATCCATGGCCACTGTCTGAGAAGGTACGGCTAACCCTCCGAATTATAGTAAATTATACCCCAGTCCCAATTCCTAAGAAGGTACGACTGGATCCATAGGGGATGTAATTATCGAGTATTCACCAACATTTAGCCGAAAACATGCCAAGTTTGCAGGCAAACAATCCCTTCTCCCTAATATTTTACACCCAGAAACCATGCTTCGAATTTTTTTTACCATGGTTTCTGGGGGGCACCATGGTATAACAAGATTAACCATGGTAAACCATTAATTACCCTCTGGTTATTTAACATAGCCATGGAAAATTGCCCTTTTATACATGGTTTACCTGGTAAAGATGGTGATTTTCCATGGCTATGTTAAATAACCAGATGGTAATTAATCATTATAAACATGTGGGTAGATAATAATACTTCGATAAAGTTCGGCTATTTTGGAATAGTTACATAAACATACATAACATATCATAAAATACATTCACCATCATTCCAGGCTTCGGGAGAACAGTGAGGTCCTTATATTTTTTCCAGATCTATGGTTGATGATGGATGTAATGGTTACATCTAGCTGTTATTTCACTTAAAACATGTGACATCCCATTACATCAAAATTAAATGTCATTAAATCATCATGTTTCACAGTTTATAAAATCTCACTTTTCGTGGTTAAAACATGTTAAAACATGTTAAAACCCAGTGAATCCACATGGGAACCGCATCTTGTCCTCACCTCCTCGTGCTTTTCTTCGCTCAGCGCCATCTTCTTCTGCGAAGCGGGGCTCTCCACGCGCGCGGGCCGGAACTCCTGCCACGGAACTCCAGGGATGAACGGAATCCATGGGGAAGCCATGGAGTGAGCGCCAGAAGATGGATATCAACATGATTTACCAGGCCGGGTATATCCATATGAATCCCATTAATCACTAGAAAATATCCATATGAATCCCATTAATCACTAGAAAAATCTAGAAAATTGATATATAAATCACTATTGATGGATATCATGATATCAACAACTATAAATGGTACCCTCTGGTAAACCAACAGAACTATGGAAAATCACCATGCTATTAATGGGAAAATCCACTATTTCGACTCGGCCATTTTCAAGTTCGCAAACTGTAACAATCACCAGAGGTTAACTCGCAGCAGATATGGCCACACTGATTTCACTAGTGGTAACATCTACTTGTGAAGCGGAACCAAAATATCGGGCCAGTTCACCCAGGTAGCCCGGGTAAACCCCGGTTCTCACCTCAAAAAAAAAGTGAGCAAAGTGAGCAATCGATGTAGGATACTGGAAGAAGTATACCACTGCCAATCTTAGATAGCTTGCAAAAAGATAGCCGGTTTGCAAACACATCCAATCATTGTAAAGGATTGAAGTACTAAAAGTATAATAAACTATACGAAAGATTACTAAAGTAGCTATAGAGTGTTGTGGCTCGACCACTCCTCCATCTGTGGAAAGTCCAACCTGGCTGGAAGGTGTCTGAAAACGGTCTTTACGCATACCCCCCCAATAGCCATGTTAAACTAGAAAACGGTCTGATTCACCAATGGAATATCATGGAATCAGATTTACCCTCTGGCAAACTAACATAACTATGGAAAATCATCATTTTTGATGGGTAAATCCACTATAAATGGCCATTTTCATCCATTTTCAATAGCTATGTTAGTTTACCAGAGGGTAGGGATTCAGAAACGTATGTTTTTCACCAATGGACGGTTTTTCTTCCCCCTTCAGATTCATACCTTAGCAGACCGAAGTGCCACTCACCTTGAAGTCAGATCCCCTTAAAAATTCGACAAAAGACAAAAGAATTCTGGCTCTCCATATGTTTCAGACACCACATTTATATCAACATATGTATATATATATATATAATGTATATATAATTACGTATATATATATATATACATATTTGACACTGAAGCCCTTCAAACTTTTGAGCACGTTTCAACATCCCCGTGGCTTGATGACATTGGAATCCCGTTCTTCGATACTATTCACCAGGCACTATAATTGCAACCACATTTCGAGCATCTATAAGACACAACCATATGATGGAAATGATGGGTATGTGGGGTAAAAAACCAGCCATACTTGGGGATATTGTTACTTTTTATTAATGGTACCCTCTGGTTATTTAACATAGCCATGGAAAATGGCCCATTTATAGATGGTTTACCTATTTAAAATGGGTGGATTTTCCATGGCTACGTTAGTCATAACCAGATGGTATATAGTCTGGTTGGTGGCTTGGAACCATGGAATTTTATGACTTTGCATATATTGGGGATATATTATTTTAGTATATTTTTAGACTGGAAAATTCAATCCCAGCCCATGGAATTTTCCAAGTCCAGTTGCTTCTGGATTCGATGAATCCACCCGCTGTTCAAGATCTCCAACTGCACCGCTGTCCACGCCACGCGCGGCTCCGCCACGTTACCGTGACCGGCGGAGGGCAGCAGGTTGCGCAGCACGCAGCGTTGAATGGAGCGGCTCTGTAGGGTTTCCACCAACTGCTCTTGGAAGAAGAGATCTGCCAAATGAACCTGCAACTTGAAGACTTGGGCTCCAACAGATATGGCGATTTCATAAAATAATATAAAATCATATAAAATCCGCCCGCACCGAAGGTGCTGGGGCGTGATCTTCCGGATGGCACTCGTAAAAGGTTACAGGTTTACCTGGGGGGGGGGGCATTTTTCGGCCAAAACCTCCTGTTTTTGATAGGTCGTGACGCTCGCCTTCAAAAAACACTGTAAAAAACAGTACGGAAGACACCTGTTCGTGAACGCGCCCGTCCAAAATCGGCAAGCGAAAAGTGAAAAAAAAACGTGTTTTTCAACTTTTTGACTTCAATTTTTTGGTTTGCAACATCTTTTTTTGCGGTTCCGCAGGTGGCCTGGCCCGGAGGCGGATTTTTGAGTTTTTGGACCCGTTTTCGGACTGATTTTCGTCGTTTTGTGATAGCAGAAACACTAGTTTTTACAGTGTTTTTCTGTTTTCTGCATGCTTGACGGCTAGCTTCAAAACTTCCAAAAACCTCGTAAATTACGCTGTTTTATGTTACGGTGTGAATGAAAACATCGTAAATACCAGTGTTTTTTGACGTTGGTTAAAAAAACACTGTAAATTACAGTGTTTTTGGCCACCTGACCCTCAAAAACCATGGTATTTGCAGTGGTTTCTGCTTCTCACCGCGCAAAAACACTGTAAATAACAGCAATTTCGCCGTTTTTTCATGTTTTTAGTTATTTTTTGAACTGCGTTGGTCCGCTATACATGGCCATCAAATTCTTCGCGTTTTTTTTTCCGACAATCAGTACTTTCGGATGTTTTTGGTCTCAATGCCCCTGCTGTGTGAGCCCAACGATGCGGTGCGGGCGGTTGCCGTCGCGAAGCGACGTGAATATCATTAAAAAATCCCAAAGCCTTGGGTTTCGATATTCAATGGGTCTAATGACTTGGATGATTGTTGGGGCACCCCCATAGATTGGAAACCTCCCTATCAGTTGCGTGATTGGCCTATAGGTCCTAGGTCTGCCGTTCGGTGAATTCTGTGCTTCATGGTAGATATTCATCTTCAATGAGTTGGTTTATAAACATCATCTAGCTCGAGATATCTAACCATAAACACTATATTATAGTTGTATATAGTCGTGTCAGTTTGCGAAAAACAATGCTAACCATGCGCCACCACCCTGAGAGATGTTGAAAATAACTCTCAGACCTACCTATAGATGACTGGGTACAGTAAAGATTCTATACATGGAGTACACTGGGACGAGTGTGCAATCATATATATATATATATACGCCACATCTATACTATATACACATAATACATGCTCCAATCATTGTTGTAAGTTCAAACTTCCAGAAATTTGCAAATATTGATGTACGTAGTGTTGATCAACAACCAGTTAAAAACCATGTTATACTATGTTGTACCCCTATCATAACTGTTATACTATGTTGTACCCCTTTTTTATAACTCCATGAAACCATCCTTGGATCACATGAGTTTCCTTCGATGGATTTTTCCCATGGAAACCGCAACAAGCTGGATCGATTGCGAACCGAGCCGCTGGCGCGGCCTTTTTCATCTGCGTGGCCCAAGTCGTGGCATGGCTCTTACCGAGTTGATCCAGTGCCAAGGCAGCAGAGTCCACCAGCTCATTCCAACCTCGCTGTGGGCGTCTCGGAAATGTTGGACCCTTGGACCCCGGAAGTTCCTGGTTTTGGGGAGTGAAATGCTGGTGAAATGTTGGTGGTGAACATCAAAATAGCTGGGATTTATGGATGTTCATCCCCCTAAAAATGGTATTTTCATAGGTATTGATCCATAGCCATATGTGAAATGTTGGTTGATGTTAGCTCATCCAACGAGTCCAACGTAACGAGATATTGGACCATAAATCCAATCATTACCTCAGTAAGCCAAGGTAGCTATCGTTTTGGGGTGCCCTGGAAAAATGGACATGATTGGGAAGATATCATTCTATTGCTGTGTCGTGTTTGCAAATGATCTGAATCATGATCATGTCGACGAGCAAATCAAGGATGGATGGAAACATCAAGACCTCATGGTTTCTCAGGAGCGTCAAATCTTCAACATCATGTAAAACTGATTAAGGTTGTTGATTGTGAATCGTTCTTGACAAGAGTCTCAAACCTCTACACATAACAATTGTTGTACATCAAAATCATGTGTTTATATTGTCCTTTCTGTCCCATGGATCCTGATGAAGTAAGGACACCATCTTTCATCAGTGACATATTATATCATGTTGCTAATTAAGCATTCATCAATCTTGCCATCAGGTGAAAATCATATCTCCACTGGGGAGTGTATACTGGATGATTATGATGGTGAATACTGGATGATTATGATGGATAGGTAGCTTCATCACTATGGATGACTATCACTGTGCTGGCCACCTTAATTGTGGCCCCATCAACATATCTACAGTGTACATACTGAGACTGTGCAAGTCAATCCGCACGAGCCACTCCTCTGGCTGAAGCGGAGGAGCCCTTGGGTAGCTTCAAAATCGGACCGCCCTAAAACACTCCCATTTTCTGCAGGGATTTACCTGGGGCAAACATGCAAAAAGCTGTGAGTCCTCTTCCATGATAGTTACATGATGAAACCCTCTGGTAAACGATTACATAGGGGTGGAAAAGCCCCCCTAATATGCAGATCATGTTCCTAGGCTTTCCCTATGGGTTTTCCACAGCTTTTTGTATGTTTACCTCAGGGTAAATCCCCGCAGAAAATGGGAGTGTTTTAGGGCGGTCCGATTTTGAAGCTACCCAAGGGCTCCTCCGCTTCAGCCAGAGGAGAGTTAAACTCAACAAAAAAGTGGGGTACATAGTCAATAGATGTTAATAGTTTGACAAAAAAAACCTAGAGACTATGTACCTGGGGATTGACAACTGTGGGTTAATACTATGTTAATAGTTATTCTAATACAACTGTGGGTTTTGACTTTAGAATACCTGGAGGCACTGGAGTTTCCCTTAGAGATTCGCCCATTGCAGCGGTTTGGACGACCAGCAAGGCACTGGTGCATAGGAACTTCACAACCATCTGCGGCTGAGAGCTCAAGAAGAAACTCAAGGGCAGCTCCTATGGACTGGTGGCCAGAGGTTACTTAGTTTAGTGGATTTGATTGGCACCGAACTGAGGTGAATCTAAGTCAACAAAAATTATGAAATTAACTTCTTCTGGCAGTTGACGTTGCTTCTATGAGGTTTCCAGCAACGGGATACGATGGGCAAATCCTGCTTGTTGGGATATGGCCCTCCTACAACCAACGTCCGTCCTCCTCGCCCTCGCCGATTGGCACCAGGCGGGTCTCTTCCGCCGCCAAGCCCATAGCCGCGCGGCCAGCTTGGCACTCGATGGGAATGGCACCGCCGTTGGCGTCGTAGAAGGCCCTCCAACCTGCGGGTCATGGCTGGCATGGGATGAATGGGGCACAGCAACAGTGCCCTGTAAGCAACATGGCCCTGTAAGTTGTGGCCATGATTTTTTAAACTGATATTTTTATGGGATGACATAACTCCTGCAACTAAGCTTCAGTTTGTAAATGGGATTGTGACTCCTGCAACTAAGGTTGTAGATATCGCCTATGGGATTATGTATAAGCCAGAGCTGTGAAAGGGCCAGCATGGCGCTGAAGCAAATCTTTCAGCTCCGTTGTTGACGCAAATGGAGATCACTACATTGCTATCTCAGCCAGACTTGGTGGTTTGTTGATATTACTGCTAAAGTTGTGTTACAACAAATCAAGAAACATATGTGTTAAACCATTCCGTTGGATTTTCACAAACCACCGTTGGATGATGGTGGAAATAAACTCGAAATTTCAGTGGGATTAATATGATGTTTACGCATCTGCCAACAAAAAAGCTGATCACCTGCAAGCGGTTGTTTTTTCCCTGGGAATGAATTTCGTCTTCTATTTGGGTTATCCCATTAAATCCCATTTGTATCAATATGGCAGTGTGTCAAAACCCTGGTACCCCTGGTGAACCCCAAAATAGCTGGTAAATGGATGTTCATCCCACTAAAAATGGTATGTATTATTGATCCATAGCCATATTATGAATGATTTTGATACATTCATATCCCATTCATATCCCATTTCTATCCCATGTCTATCCCATTTATGACATGTCATAACTCCAACACTCACCGGTTACGATCTATGGTGATCCATAAAAAGATCCTACCTTCAATGAAGAGCTTCAGCGAGCGCAAGGTGGCTTGACACTGACTCTTCTTGCTACCTCGCAAGCAGAGAGATCGGAGAGGTCGGAGCGGCTGATGGGCCGATGTGCCCCAAGTTTTTTGGGCATTTTTGGGCACCCAAGAGATAGAAAAGTGAACTCCTGCTAGAATAAGTTGCTTAACGTGTCTGTCTTTTTGAGGCTATTTGGGGCTTAGTACATCTCGTGACAAAAAATCACCGGAAAGAAACCACTGAGTTTCCCAGGTCCAAGTCCCATCTCAGTTTCCCCTGAATTTCCACTTGGCCCATAGAAATGCCCATTTTATGCCCAGTGAACTTCCATAGCTTTTATCACCACTTACAAGTTGGATATATACCCTCTGGTTATGTCAAAATAGCTATTGAAAATGGCCATTTATAGTTGAATTTCCCATTAATAGCATGGTGATTTTCCATCGTTTTTTGTATGTTTACCAGGCCGGGTAGCCCTTGTTTTCCAACTTCCATAGTCCCAGCATTCCAACGTTGGATCAGTTGCGATGATTCATCTCCTCGTCTTTCTGCATCGCTCGCTCCAAGAGATTCTTCAGAGGTTCCTCCCGGTGGAACCCAGTGGGAATCCACAGGCTTGGCTTTCATCCCTTTCTGTGTATCTGGTTGGTGGTTTCAACCCCTCTGAAAAATATTGGTCAGTTGGGATGATGAAATTCCCAATATGATGGGAAAGTCATAAAATTCATGTTCCAAACCACCAACCCGTTTGTGTGTAAGCAAAAGCTGGTATAAGCTGGTATCTTTGCCAACATCTGTCCGCAAAGATGACCCACATATCGGTGTTCATATTCCTTGCACATGTCAATGGGATTTTCAGGATCTTAAAATGGAGGTACTGTACTATATAAGGGCCATATTTTGTGGGGATATTCCCTTACATAGGCCTCAAAAATAGGCCTTATATATGGAATCGGTACCTCCAATCAATCGGTTGCTGTTGCATGGCCATTGAATATGGCATCCATTGATGATGTTCCCATGAGAAAAGGGTGAACCAGCTCTTGGGATGTTTAATAAAGGCCTCTTGAAAGGTTGAAAGGTTGGAACGTTTTCCCATGGCCAATCCAATATAAATGCAAGTTTTAGCACAAATTCACTGTAAATATTCCATAAATGTGCTATAATATTAGTATAAATCGTATTTACCCATTTATAATATTTATATTCACTATAAAATACTATAAATACTATAAATGGGCCACAAATGGGCCATAAATTCCAGCAAACCACATTTGATGACACCGGAGGGCCGCTGAGAAAACAGGTATCGCATGTTTGGGACGCTTGCTGGCCAGCTTTTGAAAGGGAGGATAGGTTGGATGTTCCCAGCACGTTGTCCAAGGGCAATCATCAGGTTCTGGTAGCTTCTCTACCCCAAAACCCCATCCCACAGTGTGTGTGTGACTATTAATGGCTATGTATCACCCTAGGGATTTTCACCCCATGAGTTGAGGTATAACTCCCATGTTCTAAATTGGTTTTAACAAATCCCAGCCATAAAGTCTGGATATTGTTGCCATAAAGTTTATCATCAACCCTTGCTGGACTGATCATCCAACTGAAGTATCTAGGGGGTTCCACTTTGTATGGTGAAGTACCATCTGGTTATTTAACATAGACATGGAAAATCCACCCATTTTTAATAGGTAAACATAGGTAAACCATCTATTTCTATGGGCCATTTTCAATAGTTTTTTGTATGTTTACCAGGCCGGGTATATCATATCCACTTAGATCACTTGCTTCACTGCATCCCCCGTTCTTGGAGCATCGTTCTTGGACCCTGCATGACCCTGCCATCATCGCGGCTCCTCGAGGTACTGCTGCGGCAGTGCACCATCCAAGCGATCGAAGATCCAATTTCGAATGCGAATGAAATGCTCCAGCAACGGCAAATGCGACAGCTCTTCCCGTCCTGAGTTGAGATGATAAGTTCTGCAGAATGTTAAAGATAGCTCTGGATTAATGCTGGATCTATACCAGCCACTGGTTCTTGATTGGATAATCGGATATGGTTCATAGTTCTGGGTAAGTTTTTCATATTTCACTAGCCAGAATTAAGGCCATTTGGGGATCATTTCCCCTACTAACTATGATTATAATATGATTATAGTGAGGTCGCAGAGAGGTCGCTATAATTTATTCAGATAGTTGTATGGATTCTACCCTTCCTGAAATGATAAAACACTGCAGATGTTTCCGTGTAAATTAAAATCAACTGTTGATCGTGGATAACCCTCCACCAACTTGCAGTGCGAATAAGGTTTGTTGGAAAGCATGGTTTAGATATGTTTGGATGAAAACAAACAATTCGTTAATCCGGCGATGGTTTCATTCCACAAAAACGTGTTGGAAAACGTTAGTCAAATGCGTCAAATACATTCAAATACCGTACTCGAACCAAGAAAGAATGTACATAATTGAAGTATCTACATAATTGCTAAACAGTTTCCAGGTCACATCAAAACATGTCCGTTATGGTCCCTTACCCCCCAATGATGGGCCTGGGCCCGGTTCCTACCACCTTCCCAACCGGTCATCCCACATTGAATCCGATTCCTTACATAACTGGTTGGTGGTTTTACCCTCTGGTAATTTAACATGGCGAACTGGAAAGATCCACCATGTTCAATGGGAAAATCCACGATTTCGACTGGGCAATTTTCATTAGCTATGTTAGTTTACCAGAGGGTAACTGGTTGGTGGTGTAATAACCATCTTGAAAAATATGAGTTCGTCAATGGGAAGGATGACATCCCATATATGAAATGGAAAGTCATAAAATTCATGTTCCAAACCACCAGATAAATGGATATGTCGGGGTGTCCATAAATGGCGTATCTCCAAAATGCTTGGTTTATAATGGAAAATCTGAATCTATAAATATCTAAATGAATTAAACATGAATGATAACTGGGGCGTACCCCCATGACTTTGAAAACCTCCATATAGATCATACGTAGATAGTAAAATGGCTTAATATGGTTTTATAAAGATAATAATAGGCTAATTTATAATGGGATATTAATGGATCATGGATCATACTGGTTCATCATTGGATATTGAATGGTATTGATACAATCCAACAATGTTGACCATGGCAACTCTACGTTGAAGGCCAAGAACAATACGTCGTGTGGAATTGACAAAGTTCCCCCAGAACTTTGGAATGAAACCATGAACAAGTTCAGATGCTCAATCCAAAATCTAACCTTGCAGATATCGGGAATCTAAAGGTTATAACCTTATAGAAATAGATTTATTGTGCTCTATCATATAATTGGATATCTTTAAGGAACCATCCTTGCAGAAAGCTTATATATCGTATTTCGTGAAGCTGGATAGCACACATATTCCTCTAGGCACACGGCGAAAACGGTCGGATGTAAATTTCTAGTTTCGATTCATTCTAGCCTCTGGTAAACATACAAAAAAACTATGGAAAATCACCATGCTATTAATGGGTAAATCGACTATTTCGATTGAGCCATGTTCAAGTTCGCAAACTCTAACAGTTTACCAGGCCGGGTAACCCCTTTAACATCCATTATCCATAGAAATCACCATAGAAATAACATGAAATGCCTGGTATTTCGGGCCATAAACTGTAGATTTCTAGGACTTCTCCCAGATGTTCCCAGGTCCGGAGAACGGAACTGGGTGGTTTCCTTCAGGTCCAGTTTCGATTCACCAGGTCGGACACAAACTTCAGGTCATCTTCCACCGGCAGTGCCAGGGTGCATTTCCTCAACAGCGACCGTTCGAGACTGACGATGTTTCAGTATGGGCTTAATTGTATGGGTTACGTTGGATTTATGGAGGATATGTATATATATAATATAATATAATATAATATAATATAATATAATATAATATAATAATATAATATAATATAATATAATATAATATAATACAATATAATATAACATAATATAATATAATATAATATTATATTATATTATATAATATAATATATACTAGGTACGGATGAGATAGGAGTTGTCGGAGGGTCCAGTCTTTTTGATTTCCCATCTCATGAGTAAAGTATTGTTTTTGCCCTTTGAAGGTGCCAAACTCCTATCTCATGTGGTTCTAGTAGTCATTTGAAGGATATCTGCATCAAGTTTTTACATTCCCACGGTTTATGGTTTTTAATGCTACAGGCTACAGTTTGGACACATGAGATAGGACTTAGGGCTGATTTGGGGTATGTTCACATAACCCATGTGTTGGGACTGTAGCATCTATATCCCATGAAGAATTCCCATCTCATGGGTTTCATCCTGAGCCATTTGGCAATATGGTAAATTGCTACTGAACGTAACTTTTTTCATTTTATCGTTGTTTCTCTACTGTTGTTAGCTTTAATAACGGGCAGCGACACGGCTCGCGGAGAACGGACGACCACGTGTCTCCCTGTTTTTATCTCTAACGGGAAGCGACACGGCTCGCGGAGAACGGACGGCCGCGTGTCTCCCTGTTGTTGCCTGTAACCGGTCTCGCTGTGCACCTCCGGATTTTCCCACATGGCCTCCGGTAGCTTCCCGTTAAAAATAAGAATGGGGAGTGGGAGCCAGGATGCCCTTCCCCGTGTAAAAGCGGATGAGATAGGACTTGCGGGGATTTGACGATTTGACTTGGGAAATCTAATGGCACATGGGCGCGGCAAAGGAAAAATAGCGACCTCTAAAAGCGGATGAGATAGGATTTCTGGAGATTTGACGATTTGACCTGGGAAATCTAATGGCGCATGGGTGCGGCAAGGGAAAAATAGCGACCACAAAAAGCAGATGAGATAGGACTTGTGGAGATTTGACGATTTGACCTGAGAAATCTAATGGCACATGGGCGCGGCAAGGGAAAAATAGCGACCGCAAAAAGCAGATGAGATAGGACTTGTGGAGATTTGACGTTTTGACCTTGGAAATCTAATGCCACATGGGTGCGGCAAGGGAAAAATAGCGACCACTAAAAGCAGATGAGATATAGGACTTGTGGGGATTTGGCCTGGGAAATCTAATGGCATGTGGGTGCGGCAAGGGAAAAATAGCGACCACTAAATTTTAAAAGAAAATGAAAAAGGACTTGTGGGGATTAGACCTCTAAAGTCAGGCAATGTAACCGGTCTCGCCGTGCACCTCCGGAGTTTCCCACAAGCCTCCGGGAGCTCTCGTCTCAGATAATAAAGGGCCGCCAAATACCCTTCCCCGTGTAAAAGCAAATGGGATAGGACTTGTGGGGATTTGGCCTGGGAAATCTAATGGCACATGGGTGCGGCCACGGAAAAAAATAGCGACCACTAAAAGCAGATGAGATAGGACTTGTGGAGATTTCACGATTTGACTTGGGAAAGCTAATGGCTCATGGGTGCGGCAAGGGAAAAATAGCGACCACTAAAAGCGGATGAGATAAGATTTGTGATTGGACGATTTGACTTGGGAAATCTAATGGCACATGGGAAGGGAAAAATAGCGACCATTAAAAGCAGATGAGATGGACTTGTGGAGATTTGACGATTTGACTTGGGAAATCTAATGGCTCATGGGTGCGGCAAGGGAAAAAAGTGACCACTAAAAGCGGATGAGATAGGATTTCTGGAGATTTGACGATTTGAGCTGGGAAATCTATGGCACCCGTTGTGTCTCACCGGGGAGGCGCTTGGAACTGCTCGCCCCCACAGCTTCACTGCTCAGAACGGTCTGGACGGTGAGCAGTTGCAAACGCCGCCCCGGGGAGACACAACGGAGAGACACAACGGGAGACACAACAGGAAAATGATGTAAAATGAGAAAAAGGTGAATGAATAGCGACTACTACAAAGCAGATGAGATAGGACTTGTCGGGGTTTGACGATTTGACTTGGGAAATCTAATGGCACATGGGTGCGGCAAGGGAAAAATAGCGACCACTAAAAGCAGATGAGATAGGATTTCTGGAGATTTGACGATTTGAGCTGGGAAATCTAATAGCGCACGGGTGCGGCAAGGGAAAAATAGCGACCACCAAAAGCAGATGAGATAGGACTTGTGGGGATTTGAGCTGGGAAATCGAGAGGCCCATGGGTGCGGCAAGGGAAAAATAGCGACCACTAAAAGCAGATGAGATAGGATTTCTGGAGATTTGACGATTTGATCTGGGAAATGCAATGGCACCCGTTGCGTCTCTCCGTTGTGTCTCTCCGTTGTTTCTCTCCGGGGAGGCGCTTGGAACTGCTCGCCCCCACAGCTTCACTGCTCAGCACTGTCTGGACGGTCAGCAGTTGCAAACGCTTCCCCGGGGAGACACAACGGAGAGACACAACGGGAGACACAACAGGAAAATGATGTAAAATGAGAAAAAGGTGAATGAATAGCGACTACTACAAAGCAGATGAGATAGGACTTGTCGGGGTTTGACGATTTGACTTGGGAAATCTAATGGCACATGGGTGCAGCAAGGGAAAAATAGCGACCACTAAAAGCAGATGAGATAGGATTTGTGGGGGTTTGACGATTTGACTTGGGAAATCTAATGGCACATGGGCGCGGCAAGGGAAAAATAGCGACCACTAAAAGCAGATGAGATAGGATTTGTGGGGATTTGACGTTTTGACCTTGGAAATCTAATTCACACGGGTGCGGCAAGGGAAAAATAGCGACCACTAAAAGCAGATGAGATAGGACTTGTTGGGATTTGAGCTGGGAAATCGAGAGGCGCATGGGTGCGGCAAGGGAAAAATAGCGACCACTAAAAGCAGATGAGATAGGATTTCTGGAGATTTGACGATTTGATCTGGGAAATGCAATGGCACCCGTTGTGTCTCTCCATTGTGTCTCTCCGGGGAGGCGCCTGGAACCGCTCGCCCCCACAGCTTCACTGCTCAGAACGGTGTGGACGGTGAGCAGTTGCAAACGCGTCCCCGGGGAGACACAACGGAGAGACACAACGGGAGACACAACAGGAAAATGATGCAAAATGAGAGAGAGCTGAATAGGGACCACTACAAAGCAGATGAGATAGGACTTGTGGGGGTTTGACGATTTGACTTGGGAAATCTAATGGCACATGTGTGCGGCAAGGGAAAAATAGCGACCACTAAAAGCAGATGAGATAGGATTTGTGGAGATTTGACGATTTGACTTGGAAAATCTAATGGCACACGGGCGCGGCAAGGGAAAAATAGCGACCACTAAAAGCAGATGAGATAGGACTTCTGGGGATTTGAGCTGGGAAATCGAGCGGCGCAGGGGTGCGGCAAGGGAAAAATAGCGACCAATAAAAGCAGATGAGATAGGATTTGTGGAGATTTGACGATTTGACTTGGGAAATGCAATGGCACATGGGAAAGGAAAAATAGCGACCATTAAAAGCAGATGAGATAGGATTTGTGGAGATTTGACGATTTGAGCTGGGAAATCTATGGCACCCGTTGTGTCTCACCGGGGAGGCGCTTGGAACTGCTCGCCCCCACAGCTTCACTGCTCAGAACGGTCTGGACGGTGAGCAGTTGCAAACGCCTCCCCGGGGAGACACAACGGAGAGACACAACGGGAGACACAACAGGAAAATGATGTAGAATGAGAAAAAGTTGAATAGCGACCACTACAAAGCAGATGAGATAGGACTTGTGCTTGTGGGGGTTTAACGATTTGACTTGGGAAATCTAATGGCGCATGGGTGCGGCAAGGGAAAAATAGCGACCACTAAAAGCAGATGAGATAGGATTTCTGGAGATTTGACCTCGAAAGTCTAACTGGCACATGGGCGCAGCAAGGGAAAACTATTGACCACTAACAGCAAGCGAGGTAGGACTTGTGGGGATTTGACGATTTGACGCGATTTGACGATTTGACCTGGGAAATCTAATGGCACATGGGTGCAGCAAGGGAAAAACCTTGACCACTAAAAGCAGGTGAAATAGGACTTGCGGGGGTTGACCCGGAAATCTAATGGCACATGGGTGTAACTAGGCAAAAAGTTGGGCCACTGAACGCATGTGAGATAGGACTTGTTTTTTCTAGAACCATTGTAGTTTCCTATCTCATCAGCCTTTGCTGCTGCCACAAAACATGAAGTCCCGATCATTTATCAAGGTGTTTTTTCAGACTTGCATTCAGGTCTCAGAGCGGGTTCAGCGCACATGAGTTGGGAGTTTTGGCAAATCCCAGGTACCAAAACTCCTAACTCATGTGGCTATTCTAGCCAATCCCCCATAAGCGCTCCAAACAGTGGACACAAGAGATAGGACTAGACCCCAGCAAGTCCTAACCCATCCGGGGCCACAAGTCCTAACTCATCAGTACCCAGTATAATATAATATAATATAATATAATATAATATAACTTAATATAATTTAATGTAGTATAATATAATATAATATAATATACTATACTATAATATAATATAATATAATACTAAATTTATTGTTAGATTGTTTTTTGTGTCGGATACGAATCTACAGCTAAAGCAACTTGTGACTTATAATTGGTGAACCTGATGGAGATGAATCGATAGTTGGCAGGTCTTATAAACCAACGTATAAGTGAAAAGCATGGATCTGACCAAATGACTTACTGGTGCGTTTTACGTAGGGAATGGATGGGAATGGGGGTTGCTGGGATAATTATTGCTGGTGATTATGGATCATTCCCGAAAATTCCCTGCTAAGCACCAGTAAGATGGTTATACCCTCTGGTAATTTAACATAGCTATGGAAAGATCCACCATTTTTAATGGGAAAACTCACTATTAAATGGCCATTTTCAATAGCTATGTTAGTTTACCAGAGGGTAACTTACAACTGGATATTTCTATGGGATTATACATTCATATACATTCCATAAATAGGATGACTTAGTACTTATAACTGGTATTTCGGGCCATAACTGTGAACCACCAGATAGCTATCACCAGTTAGCAGCTGGTTGGAAACCAGAGTCACATAATATATCACAATATGTCATCATTCATCGTCCACTTAGATGGGATAGTTCACGAAATCGGGAATTACTAGACTTATATAATCAATGGTCATTTCAGAAACCTAAAATGGAGGTACTGTACCATATGTTTGGCCATATTTTGTGGGGATATTCCCTGAAACTAGGCCTAAAAAATAGGCCTTATATAAGGTACGTACCTCCAATAATTCGGATCCTGAAGATCTCCCATTGATATAACCAGCCTTATTCATCACTGACGATCCATGGGATGATCCTCCAACTACCCGGGTACCCCCAATAATGGTGCTATATTGGGGGACTATGTGTTCCCATGGCAAAATGGATGTGTTGGGATATGGGTGTGTCTATGGGGTACATATACCCTCTTCAAGTTATGGCCATTTCAATAAGGAAAATGATGCTTCACCGATGCTTCCATGCGTGTCCTGGCATTTTTCAGACCCATAGAACTGACAGGTGGATACTTGGAGGGTCACTCCCGATTGTGAAAATCATTCCCCTCTACAAGTGGGGTGTCCTGTAAATAAAAAGCTGTATAAGTAAGGTTAGACGCGATGCCCACCATCTGCCCCACAGTTTACATGGGGTGGGATGGGGATGTTAACGTTCCATCGACCACTTTCCCTTGACCTTGCACAAGATCTTGATGCTACTGCTACATGCAAGATGACCTAATTATCATGGTTCAGGGTGGGATGGGGCGATGATAACGCTCACTCGGCCTTGCACAAGACTTTAATGCTGTGCCCATGATCACGATGTAGCGTATCCATGATGTTGATATCTCATAATTAATATTATGATGATGATGATGGTGATGATGATGATGATGGTGATGGTGATGGTGATGGTGATGATGATGATGATGAGGAGGAGGAGGAGGATGACGATGACGATGACGATGACGATGACGATGACGATGACGATGCCGATGACGATGTGACGATGACGATGACGATGACGATGACGATGACGATGACGATGACGATGACGATGATGATGATGATGATGATCATGATGCTGGTGATGGTGATGATGATGATGATGATGATGATGATGATGATGATGATGATGATGATGATGACCGCGACGATGATCCCGTCGAACTCTTCCAGACGCTGGGCAAATGGTGGGAGTTGATCGGGTTAGGTTACTAGCCAGTTACTAAGTAATATGATCCTCCCAGAGTCCACTTCTTTCGTCGATCTCTCAATGTGTCTCTGTTCTCCCTGGTTTGTCCCCTGTCAAAAGTTGAAGGTGTAATAGGATAAACATGGATAAAGAGTTCCCACATTAAATCATAGCTACCCTCCTGTAATCAAACGTAGCAAGGGATTTTCTCCTATAAATGAAAGTTTCTAGCTTGGAAAGTCATCTAGAAATCGGCCATTGTCTACATTTGATTTCCGCAGGGTAAATCTGATCCTAGAAACACTAAGATCATCTAAGAAACTACCCTCTGGTGAACGTTTACATAACTATGGAAAATCACCAGTTTTAATGGGTAAATCAATGTAAATCAACTATTTCTATGGCCATGTTCAATCGCTATGTTACCAGAGGGTAAAATCTAATTACGTGCTTGTGGCTATCTAGCCATTCACACACTTCAGTGTTTATCCCATTACGCGCCTCGTGTTCCATTTGACATTTTTTGCCCCGCAGCCGAGGATCTCATAATCGTGGAAGAAGTTTTGCATGTAACCTGGAGGGGTGCCCGAAACAGCTTATTCTTTTCACTTTGAAAAATAAAGCAAAGCGAAAATGGGATTGGGACAGACCAACAATTAATTACGTGATACATGATGTGTGCATACATTTGTATATGTATAATATATATATATCATATAAAATGTACATTACAGATCAATATACAATGACAATCATGAACACCGATATGGGTTTGTCCAAAATGAGACAAAACCCAGGGATACCCCATGAAAATCCATGGCTGTGATATTTAACAACCACGATAGAAAACGATGCATCTCTAAGTAGCTCAGGGAGGATCGGAACTGCTGCAACTTCAACAGTTGACTTTGCGCCGCCGAGTCTTGCATCGCTTGAGTCCTCCAAAGTGGAGGTCCCCTTTCTTAGCTAACTTGGACTATAACATATTATAACAAAGCTATGTGAGTTGGACTTGTGGTGGATGTATGTTGGGCGTATGTATGCGTATGTTGGATGTTGAATTGTCCATACCTGGGTGTGTTTACAAACCAACTTCTAAGTGGGAGGCACCACCTTATGCTGGCTCGAGAAACGCTGTGGCACGGGCTTCAAAAAATGGCCCTTCGATTTTTGGACTGGATTCAATCGTGGTTAAGGTGTGGCCAGAAATCATCCACTTCATGTGACTGCAACACGCTGCCATCATCCCAGTCCCCGGTCTGCACTCAGTGGTTCTTGTAGCACTCTGCACGTGCTGTTTTTGTTGTTTAGTATCCCAGGTAAATCCAAAATATATTTAAATATATTTGTATTATATTATAATATATATATATATTATTATATTATATTATATATATAATATATATATATATATATATATCCAAAATTATCCAAATATAATCGTGTTGGTTGAATATCCCCATTACAGATCAACCCCCCATCTTGAAAATAGTTCCCCAATCCATTTTTCGACGTTTACCTCCCATCCCAGCCGCTTCTTCCGTCCTCAGCTCCGGCAAGCTCTGCAGGGTGCCATCGATCATCTCGCGCCAGAGGTCCTCGTAGTGCTGCCGGGCTTCCGCCGTGGCGAAGGTGCGCGCGAAGGCTGGGGAAGCCGCCACCGCCTGCTGGCGGAAGTCCTGTGGAGGCTGGAAAAAGCCTCCGGTGCCAGAGGTGAAAAACATGGGTAGAACCACAACTGAAGCCCCATGTTTGTTGGGAATTGTTGGGATGTGGGGCCCCTGTAACTAGGGTATATCCACTTAGTTCACTGGAACTGCACTTCCAAGTAGCCCTTTTGGGTATGAATCATCCAAATTTTGAGTGCAGTACCCAATTTTGACCTATACTGTATACTCATTACACCCACAAAACAAAGACATGGCACAGGTGATGGTGATCCAGTCAATACTTAGATGTGAATTCAAGGCTTTGTACTGTAAGTGGGTAGTAGCCAGCTTATAACCTAGTTGCAGATGGAACATCCCCACTTAAGTTGTATACCCTCCAGTAAACGTTTACGTAGATGTGGAAAACCCACCATGTGAATCATTTTCCGATGCATAGCTTTTCCACGTCTTTCTGTACCTTTACCCCAGGGGTAATGACTAAAATGTGCATATACAGGTGATGAACCACTTACTAAGTGGGATGCATGTCCAACCCGTTGCCCGTTTGTTTCCAGGAATATATTGGTAGCTAAGTTCTAGCATACTCCCAATATGTTCCAATCAATACGAAGTCTACCGTCCCAACAAAAACTTCGGTTCCGAGGCGTCCAACCAATTAGTCCCATCACCCCAATATGGTTGCACCACCCCCTAAAATGGCACCCACTTTATGAATACATCAAAAAAACACACAAAGGTGGTTTGAGGAGAGGATCATGAGTCATATTTGGGGGGCGAGGTCGCGGGATGTTGCGGGGATATTTCTGGGAAGTCTGGGAAGTCGTGGGGGTTTCTTAAGTTAAGTCATGCTGGATCCCCAGTCACCATGGTTGTTTCCATGGTTTCCATGAATTTGGATGATTTGAGGCTCCCCCATGACTTGTTGGAAACATCCAGTCGTAATTGGTGAAACCTGGGCCCATTTCGAAACCGCCACTTTTGTGGCCCAAGTTATGAGGCCGCAATCACAAAAGGTGATACAATGCGATACCCATCTGATGGAATTAGAATTGGGATAATGGTGAATGATGGTGAAATATGTGGGAAACTACCAACTGAATATGTACGTAGTCATACCCATCTAGCTTATTGATTATCGCAACCTTTTTTGATCCCAATTATTCTTCAGGCGACATCCCCCCAAAAAAAACATCACATGGAATCACTTACCCTCTGGTAAACGTTTACATAACTATGGAAAATCACCATTTTATAGCTGGATAAATCCACTATTTCTATGGCCATGTTCCAGTTCGCAAACTGTTAGTTTACCAGGCCGGGTAAGTTTTGTTGCACCATTTTCTCCCCGCCGGCCCAGGTCGGTGCCATTGGGTCCTGAAAGAGGCGTGAGAAAACCAAGGATCGGTCTTCCTCCGTCAAGCCCTGGTGTCTGCAAACGCACCTCGTGGTGTGGCGTGGCGACGGTTGACAAATGGGGATGGGTTTAACCACGGTCACACTCTCAAAAGTTGGATTCACCCCCGTTTTTTCTGGTAAAATCCACAATTTTCAGACTTGGGGATGGGTTAAAAATGGTTAAAACCTATTAAGACCTATTATAGATGACCAATTTTTTTGTGGGAATAAACATCCATTAAGCTGCTATTTGGGGGTACCGTTTGGGTGCCAGGAGTTTGACGAAAATAGCCAGAGTACTATTAAAATTGGTACCCCAAAAAAATTGGTTGTTTAACCCTGGGACCATGGGTAAATATATTATATAGACTTTTTTAAGGAATCCTGGGAGTGCGACCCACCTCTGTGAGTTGCGTTTTTTTGCGGTGTTTACCGCTTGAATTCGAATGATAGGGTTGTGGTTTATGGTAGATACATCATGATACATCAAACTAATTAACTTTATAGCTATTATATGTGTATTTTTGTATATTATATAAATTATATATGTAGATGTTCCTATTGTTTTTTAAACCAACATTCACATGGCTATGGATCACCTATAGATACATTTTTAGTGGGTTATTCACATCCATAAATCCCAGCTATTTTGATGTGAACTACAGGGGTACAAGGTTTTGACACACTGCCACATCACCACCATGATACTCTCATCAGATCCCAGTTGCTCGAAGCACTGGAGCGCGTAGTTCATGGCAAAGCTGCGCACGCTATCCGCGAAGGGCACGCCGTCGCGCCGACCGCCATCGACTTCGCGGATGTAGCCTTCGGTGAGCACCTGCCACCGTCAAAAAAAACAACGGAAAAAATGGGGGTTACCCGGCCTGGTAAACATACAAAAAGCTATTGAAAATGGCCATTTATAGTTGATTTTTCCATGAAAAATGGTGATTTTCCATAGTTTTTTGTATGTTTACCAGAGGGTACAATAGGATATGAATGGGATATCATGGGATTTTTTCATGGGATACCCAACTGTGGCTTATTGTGGGTTTGACTGAAAATAAAGCATTGCGCAACCCCCTTATGGCGAATCTATAGGAATTAAAGGATGATAAAGCATAGGATTTTCGGGTACCCTATTCTCAGACAAACCCACAAGCAAGCCACAGCAACTTGTGCTGGGTAGTGAACATGACCTATTTCCAGATGATCTACCCTCTGGTTATGACTAACGTAGCCATGGAAAATCACCATTTTTAATAGGTAAACCATCTATAAATGGGCCATTTTCCATGGCTATGTTAAATAACCAGATGGTATTTAGGGATTTTCCATTGCCAAATTGTGTTTACCAGAGCAAAAAAACTCCGGTCATCACATCACAAAATGAAGGGCGCTCAAAGTCTCAGACGGTCATATGATATGCGCATGCGTCAAAATCATTCAAGATCTATATGATTTTCCATTTGGACGCTGAACATATTTTATCTACCAAGAATTCCCATATCGGATCATAGTCTCCCCTATCCAAGCACTTATATAGGCAGCAAATTCCTCTTGTTGCCGACCCAACTCTTCACATCGCCTGCGTGATATCATTGCAGAGCTCCGGAAAGATCCAACATCCCAACGCCAGCATCGTCCAGGAACAGAAATTCAGCAGATGCAGCTGCGGATTGGTCAAGGGCTGCCTATTGCGACTAGCCGGCCGTGCCCTTCCCTGTGCGTCCAAGACGCAGCCGCAGTCGAAGTGATAGCCCTCCGGCCCCGGCATGGCACCATAAACGAAGCCCACCGGGAAGCTGTGGAGCATGGCAGTGGGCTCTAGGAGCATCATGGTGAGATGGTTATTATCTGGAACTCCCAGAACCACCACCAACAAGTTGAGCATGGCATTCTTCAGTCGACATCCTGGATGAAATGGAAGGTCTGGATGGTGAGGGTATGATGAGTCAGCCATAAAAGGCCAAAAAAGATATGTATTACAACCGAATCACCCAATTTTAATCCTAATCAAAACACACAAAGACTTAAAGTGTATGGACGGATGTGTATGGCTATCCAATCCCAGCATCGGTTCTCTCCATTTCCAGCCACTTCTTCCCAGTTGTCGCGCCCCAAAAACACTGCGGCCACCAACGACTCGGACGCCGCCAGTTGCCCCGGATCGCACAGCACGGCGGCCACCCGCGCCAAGCGCTCATCCTCCAATCCCAGAGCCGCGCGCAGTCTCTGATTGTTGGCATCTGTCAGAGCCTGGTGGGTCAACTAAGCTTGTTGTCGCAGTCTCTGTTGCAATGTGAGGCCCCCGTTGGATAGCTAAGTTGGTTAACAAAAGCCCCAGTAACTATAGTTATCAATACCATAAACAATAGTTATTGGACTTATAAACCAATTTAGCTATCTTGGGGGCCTCACATTGTGGGGATGGGGTACACAAAAAAAAATACGGGAAACGGAGGATGCTGGCCGCGTGACACCAAAGTCTGGCTATTTGACCTGGATGTCTTGCTGATCTCTTCTAGAATCTTCCCATTTCTTCTCAAGATTCACTATGATCATAACTAATACATTTTCTTTGTATTAGCTTTGTATTAGCTTTGTATGAAAAAAAACAGGATCCTTCCAAATCCTCCAAAAATCCGCTCTTTTTCTGGATCTTCTTGTTTTGCCAAAGAAAAAACTCCAAGAAGTCTCAAATCCCCCAGGTTTCCAGTTTTCATCCATTTTCCCCATTGGCTCCCCAGTGGCTCTCCTGCGCCAGGGCCGGCCGCGCGTCGTTCTTCTTGGCCAACGCACAGGCGCAGGCGTTGCCGAAGGCGTAGCGCCGGTCCTCCGGACTCAAGCCCTGCAGGGCCGCCTCTGCAGCGGCCAGGGCTGCTGGAGACTGGAACTCCTGCCTTGGAACGGTTCTGAACGGCTCTGAAATGGCTTAGGATCACCCAAAAATGGAGCCTCAATGGACCCAATGGAAAAATGATCTATAAATGGGTGCTTTTTATGATGATATGCTGATGATATGGTGATTGTATTGGACATATTTTGATATATTTGTTTATTATAGGTGTTCAAGGAATGTTCATTGAATTTGTTTAAAATGGTTGGCCAAAGATCAAAGTTATATAATGAAATTTATAGGAACATATTTAACCAACATCTGATGTAAGGGTTTCCGTTGGTGCGTATGACAAACCACGTATATAACATCTTATCCTGGTATCATAATTCCGACACGGGAACCCCGTCCCACTGATGTCATATTGAGATGTCTGGCGAATCAAAATTCACCAAACTGACATAAGATTTCTTTGGCATGATTCCCCCCAATTCAAACCATCGTCTGATGGTCACAAGATGTCACAAGATGTCTGTTTGCAGCTGATGGATGTGACCAGCCTGAATGCAAGAGAAAACGAAGACGTATCTTAGGATCAGGAAAAAAAAGAAGAATCAAACATATCTTTCGAAATGGAAACGGGTCAGAGTGAAAAGTCATTTTCCACTTACACATGTTCAGGTGAACAATGAAACCTACAAAACTTTCGAAGTGCCGATCCAGCTGCTGCATGACCCATGCCAGGATGGCTGAGAATCCAGGAGGCTGCCTCTTTTCTTCCGCCATGGCCATGCTGGCTTGGTATCGTGGAGCCTGACTCCAATCGAAGACGTGGCCGCATCCCTCTCCATGTTGTCTTGTGCCGTGCGCATGCGCACCACATTGCATCTGACTGCAGCCTCAAGTTGTCGGAAGTGCTGAGATGGTACAGGAAGAGGTTCCCAAGTTCCACCTGTTGGTCTTATGCGACTAGGTTAACTGGGGTCTATTTGATGGCTCTATATCTATACGTGGGTTGATACAGTAAAGCAACTGGGATGTGGTTCTTGAAATTAACCGTATAGAATAGAATATTGAGCACTCAGCCACCGGCTTTGCCACAATCCAGGAGTGGTGAAGCACTGCCCAGAAGAAATAGGGGCGCACAAACCCCCATGCAACCAGATTATGCTCTTATCCTGCAGGTTTCTGGATACGTGCCCTACGTGCCCTGGTCAAGTCAAGAACGCTTCTGATCATCCCACCACTATTGGGAATCCTGAGATTTCCCCTTCCGAATCCCTATGAATGGATTGATGACCATAGGCAATGCAATTTGTCTCTACCATGGTATCAGGATCGAGCTCACGATTTTAATCCGGTTCCTCAAAAGCGCATAGCCCGGCTACAGCACGAAAAATCACTACAAGCCCAAAACACGTCTGAGTCACTCCCACGAACCAACTCAAGAGACTTATATTATATATATATATGTGTATATATATATATATACATACATACATACATACATACATACATGCATACATGCATACATGCATACATGCATACATGCATACATGCATACATACATACATACATAACATTACATAACATTACATAACATTACATAACATTACATAACATTACATAACATTACATAACATTACATAACATTACATAACATTACATCACATTACATCACATTACATAACATTACATAACATTACATAACATTACATAACATTACATAACATTACATAACATTACATAACATTACATAACATTACATAACATTACATAACATTACATTACATTACATTACATTACATTACATTACATTACATTACATACATACATACATATACATATACATATATATATACATACCATTTATATGTGCATAGCACTTAGTATGTGTTTCATAACCACAACTATTTTCGCCAGTTATTCACCGGGATGAACGTCTAGAACCCCCAACAAATGACACCACCCAACTCCCCCAGCTGATGATTTTCACACCACCCAAATCCAGCTCAAGTTTTCCCAAACTCATCTTGTCAAACATCAATGGCCATTCCAGGATCCTAAGTTGGAGGTTACCATCTATAAGGCCTATTTCTTAGGCCATTCCATTTCAGGGAAAATCCCCTAGGATCCTGAAGATCTCCCATTGAAAATATCCACAGGTTGCCAAAGAACCCCCGTCCTTCTCGATGACTTTTCCACACCTGGGGCAACAACGACACTCCCCGCGGGAAGCGTAGAGATGGTCTTCGCGCTCCCTTTCCTGATCCTGGTGTCATGACGAGGGGGATAGGCCCAAGATGGCACAAGCACTCCTAAACAAAACCTACTTGGTGGCTCATCCCACGGCTCGTAAGTGGGTTATAACCCCAGTTATAAATGGGATAAGTAAGGTTAATCCACTTATAACTGGGGTTATAACCCACTTACTAAGTGGGATGAGCCACCAAGTACCCCAGGTATTATTTGAGCAGTGCTAAACCCAAAATGTTTGTCATTCCGCACTGGATTCCCAGTGGAGTATGATCATTCTCAAATATTCTCAATACGATGCTCCATGGTGCTGGAATATTTACCTACATTTACACCAAAAATGACCCAGTTTTGTAGGTAAATATTCCATACATGGAGCATCTGGGTACAGTAAGAGTCGCAAAACCCCCGAACTAACCATCTGAACATTGGTCATTTGGGTTAAGAGGTGAGTGGGCCTCCACTTATATCCTCTTTAAATATCACTGTTTGGGGGGAGATGACTGGATATGCATCCATGCAAGATCGCGATCTCTGTTCATCACCACTCTGTTCATCACCATAGAAAGCAATCCCCATAGAAACCCACAGAAACCCCTTTACCCTTCTCAAAACTAGCAGCATCAAATACGAATATGTGTTCATGTTCGTTGTCAGGAACCTAACTCAGCTGTTCTGATCTGGCCATGAACATCTTGAAAAACTATGGAAAAAGAGACGGCGAAACCGGTAGCTGAAGAGCACGGATTATCCGCAAATTGGGTTCTCATTCTCCCAATGGCGGTGTGTCCCAAGAAATGAGTGAAACATGTTTCCGGGTTGTTTGTTTGAGTGTTCCAACCACAATTTCTGGGTTCCTAGTTCCTAGCTAACTTTTGAAGCTGCCAAAGCCGAAACTTGAAAAAAATACAATCTAAACTGGTTGGTGGTATACCTACCCCTCTGAAAAATATGAGTTCGTCCGTTGGGATGATGAAATTCCCAATATATGGAAAGTCATAAAATTCCATGGTTCCAGTCACCACCAGCCAGTAAAACATGTACCCTCAAATCATCCATGTTATTTTCGGATTCTCCACGAAATCAACCATCCAGCGATCCAGGGGATTCCTCATCGATGGAAAGCCACCGTTTTGAATACCCATTACCCTCCCATATTTTAACATATAGTAACATAGCTATGGAACATGGATGAAAATGGACCATTTAGTTCGATGTTTTACCTCTTGAAAATGGTGACTTTCCAGTTCGCAAACTCTAAACGTTTACCAGAGGGTTATTCCGTTATACCACTATAATCCCATATTGTAACCCCATTATATCCCATGATATCCCATTGTACCACCTAATTGGTGGTTGAGCCCTACCCCCCAGAAAAATGATGGACTTCGTCAGATTGGATCATCCCAACGACATTGGGGAAAATATGTCAGTCATGTTCCAAACCAAAAAACCCGATAACCATATATATATATATATACAGTATATAATATATACAGTTGATAACCATATTATGAACCATTATTATAACCATATTATTATCATACCATCATTATATCATACCATTACCCAGATGCTCCATGGTGCTGGAATATTTACCTACAAAACTGGGTCATTTTTGGGGTTTTTATGTAGGTGTGTATATTCCAGCACCATGGTTCGCATCTGGGTTATACCACTATAATCCCAGTTTACCAGGCTACCCCTGGTGGGAATTTGAAGGATCGGCTCCCACCAAGAAAAAGGAACTCCTGGCGCCGGCGCCGCTCGCGCTCATGCTCGAAGCCGGGCATGTTGGACACGGGCAAATCCTGTGGGGGTCACCGCGGGGTCGCGTCATGTCTTTGAAAAGGGGGCCTCAGCGACCTGGATAAATTCTGCGAAATCACCATCGAAATCCATTACACGTAGAAATACAAGAAAAATACAACTACTAAGAAATACTCAACTATAAGAAATCCCCATAAAATATGTATATATATATAATATACATACATACATATATAGATATTATATATATTATATATATATATTATATTATAACATATTATACCTCATATAATCCCCGTATGATGGAATTCCATATATTGTAATCCTATCCCCATTTATCATCCATAGATCCATACCATGAAAATCCCCTCTGAGGGACCCGTGGTCCTCCCAGGGATCCTCACCAGGACCTCAAGAGTCGAGACCGAAGGTACCGAAGATACCGAAGGGAAAGGTCTTCGGGAGGAAAAGCTCCAGGCTTCACCCAACGTTAGAGAGAAAAGTAGGTAACTTAAGGGATAAATTGGGATATTATGATGAGATTTAACGGATTTTAACGGTATAAAATGAATTGTATGAATTAAATGGATGTATTTTTTGGAATGAGATACCAAAAGTTGGACGGAAATATCATCGAACTATAAGTTGGTGGCCCCTATCAGTTTGAATTTACCAGAAAAAATGCATATGTCAGGATTTAGGATAGCATTCTGGAACCTATATTGATTCAACATATTTATGGTAAATCGACCCGCATCATTTTAGGCTTCACCCCCACCATTTATAGCAGGTCGTTTGACGTCAGAGCTTCAGATCGGTGGAGCCCCTTCCCCTTGATTTACCGCAAAAAATAAAAAGGACATCATGGAAAATCAACACTGAAAGTCACTGGAAAGTTGAGTTTCCATGGGGGTTTTCGACCTGAATTGAAAGAGGGCAGCGCAATTTTGTACAGGTTCCATTAGTTCCTACAAAGTTGGCACCATCGGTGTATCAAACCATCATGAAATGTCAGAGATATCCTGGATGCAACCCAACACCTCACAATTTACAACCTCGCTGCCGACCTAAGCCTTCTCGTTGCAAACGCACTTGGATTGCCACAAGTTCCTGGAAAACCCCAAAAAAACATCTAAAAACTGGGTAAGTCGAGGGCACGGCATCCAGTTCCAGTTCCATCACCTCTGGGGGCCCCACCTCCAGCCGCGCGTTCGGGCTTCGCCAAGCCTGTGGCCCACGCTGCCAGGCGCGCGCACGCATCATCGGCCGTATCGGCCGCCCGGCGCAGCAAGTCCTCCAGGGCTTTCCCAGCAGCTGCGGTGGAGCCGGCGTAGTGCACCAAGGCGTTCAGAAACATCATCCTGGGCACACGTGGAAGGCTGGAAGGCACCCCATGATAGCTACAAGGTGGTGCCCCCCATGATTAGTTGGTTTATCAACCAGAGTGACTATGATCAATCCACCATAGAATTCACGAAGTGATTTGCGTCAACTTAGCGATTCCGAACTGCGGCACCACCTTGTAAGTTGGTTTTCAAACTCGGTGAATTCCATGGTTTATATGCCCATAGATGATAGTTATAGACCTATTTGAAACTGGCCCACCTTGTAGGAATGGGGCTTTCCTGAGAACTTTTGGGCCCACCAAATATACCAGGACGAACCCAATATGCATCTGGTTGTTGGTGAGTCAACCCAACGGATTCAAAAGCAGAAAGCCTCAAAAAAACAAAGCACGGGTTTGGCTCAAAAATTCCCCGCTCCAGAAATGGCAGGATCAATGATCATATGATTTGAGATGCAAATGGAAGTTTTGGAAGTTGTTGCATTGTTTCTGAGCCATCCCCGACAACTCAGCGCAATCCAAGGCATCCATTCGGGAGAGTCTTCTCCTTGGAATTGCTTCAGGGGCTCAACAAAAATGCCGAAAAAATTCAGTGGTGGTTTGCCCCACCCCCGGTCTGGTGGCTTTCCCCCACCTTGGAAAAATCACACCAAAGAATTGCAAAGGTGAAGGGAATCAAACATTGCTGGAAAACTACCAGTTGGACTAGAAAAAACATCCATAAATAGAACAAAAATCTGAACAAAGTTTAAACAATTGAGGAACACTCAAAAGAGCTGTAAGGTCATGGCTAAAAATTAATATAACTGGGAAAATCGAAAAACATGTTAAAGAAAATCATCAAAATCACTGGTCAAAAAGACTCCAAGTGTCCCTGTGCTCCCAGATGCAGCAGCAACTGCTGCCCCTCCGCAGTTCGCAGCGTCTTCCGCGCCACGCTCTCCGCCACCGACGCCAGCAGCTGCTGCTGCCGCACCGCGCGGCGCACCGCGGTGAAGACGTTGGGCGCGGACGACGCCCCGGCGGCACGGCGGAGTTCCTCCAGGGGTTGAAGGCCATCCAGTTCTAACAGCTCCTGAGAAGAGTGACAATGGATCTGGGATTTGGGGGAAAAAAAACCATGAAAAATGAGGATCTAACTGATTACACTAGAGAAAATATAAGTATATTCATCAAAAACTTGGTGAAACATGATGAAAACCATCAGACATACGGGGTTAGACTGGAGATTGAACTAGCGAAAATATGGGGTGTGATTCCGGATAATTGATTTATCTGATGATAGAAAAGTGTCAATGGGTTGGTTTTAAGTTTTACGGGAACATCTACAGGATATATGGTTTAAGTTCGAATCGTGGTTGGATTTATGCATTAAGTTTTATGTTCATTACTGAGTCATGTTGCTAGAATCGGTAGCTGTTGAATGGCGGTCGCTAATTTCAATGATATGTCGATGGGTAAATACTTGGCAAGGTTTGAGAAAAAATGGAGGTCTCTAAACTCCAAGTGAGGCATGCCACAATTAGAGATACCCTCCAGTAAACATAGAAAAAGCCATGGAAAAAGCCCATGGGAAATCCACAGGTTTCCCATGGAAAATGATCAACGGTAGCTTTTCCATAGCGTGGACTGGAGGATAAGCCAATCATCCAGGCAGTATCTGATCATCAAGTGGAACAAGTTGGCGTCATTGGATTTGGGACATCAGAAAATTGAATGAAACCCAAGAACGATCCATGGCACCCTGATTTATATGGCGATTGTCCGGGCCTAATTTGGAGGATGGTCTCAGCTTATAAACATCCGTGCCCCATCCCATCCCTGCCGCGTGCTTCCCAGGAGACCAAACAGCCACCACCGAGGTGCTGTCCCGGCCCCTCGCCAGGCATAGTACAGCAACCAGGGAAGACTGCTGGTGTCGTCATCGTGTTCTTCCGTCCATTCCATCCATGCATTCCATGGAAGGTGGAGACAGGGATGTTCACCGACCTGGTTTAGAAGCAGAAATGGACGTTGGTTGAAAAGTGATCACATCGAGCTATTGTTTCAACCATAAATCCAATTAGTTAGCCTACTTAAAACCTTAGCTGTCATATAAATCAACTAGTAACCCCATCCATAGATTTTCCCTAGGTTTTCCATAGATTTCCCATACATTTTCCCTAGATTTTCCATACATTTTCCCTAGATTGTCCATACATTTTCCCTAGATTTTCCCTAGATTTTCCCTAGATTTTCCATAGATGTTCCACAGATTTTCCCCACCTTTTGGCAGAATTCCTGACTGAACCGCTGCAGCATTTCGCTTCGCTTCCCACGGTGCTGCTGTACCGCCTCCAGCAGTCCCTGCAAGGCCGCCGCGCCCAGCGCTGGAGTGACCAAGGCATAGCACGACGCGAAGATCCCGCGGCTGTCTACGATGTCCAGGATGAGCTCAACGGATTCACCTCCGTTGTTCCACGTTTCAATGGATTGGTTTTGTTGGGAAAATCTTAACCGGAAAATCAATGGAATAGTTAACTTACCATCAAATTGATCGGGCTTTCCGGTTAAAATTTTCCCATCCAATTGGATGAACGTTGTTGGTTCTCGGGATTCGATCGGATGATTTTGGGTAACAAAAAGAGATGTGATATCTGGTAGGTGCTGGTCGAAAAATGCTAACATGACTGGGGTTAATCTTGATGGGATCCATGGCACACCATATATAGCACATAAATGGAGTCATGGTGAATGGGATGATCATTGGATAAGTTTTAGTGAAACGATATGGGCCACGGTCAATATTTGGTTTTTTTCGCTCCAAGTCGTCAATTTTTTGGTACATAGCCCCAGCTCAATTTCACAAAAAAAAAAGATGTCTCGAATACTACTCTCCATGAACCTAAATTTTGGCTGTAGCTCACATGGCTAAGTTGACATAACTTGGCGAATTCGATGGTTTATGGCGGATATTAATGGAACTCAAGTGACGCATTGAACTCATCGGATCAGGTCGAGTTTTCTGGGTTTAGGGTGATTAAAAAAAAATGGATGATTACAAGGGATACCGGGATGTAATGGGATTATAACTGGACTCTCAGATATTATAAGTTATATCCCAGTGACTATACTGTATAATGACTTATAATATCATATATTGTCATATTATATCTAGTATCAGATTATCAGATAGATAGATAGATAGATATATATATATAATATATATATTATATTATAATAATAACCATACCATACTATACCATACTATACTTTGGTTTTCAATGGATTGGTTTCTACCGTCACCGACTCGAAAGTGTGACACGTGACCTGTTTCTTTAAAAATCGCCCCTAAAGGTCGATTGTTAAAAGTTGGAAAGCTGGAAAATATGCGAAATTTTTAACCCTCTGGCTATTTAAACTATGGAAAATCACCGTTTTGAATGGGTAAATCAACTGTTTCGACTGGGCCATGAAATCAATAGCTATGATTGAATAGTGATACCCTCCGGTAAATTGACATCTGGTTGGTGGTTGAGCCTACCCCTCTGAAAAATGATGGAGTTCGTCAGCTGGGATGATGAAATCCCCAACTGAATGGAAAAATCAAAGTCATGTTCCAAACCACCAACCAGTCATCTATAGATATCTATTATAGCGGTAGCTGGAACACTAGCCATGGAATACTACTCATTGGTTATAGATCATTGGGATAGAACACTGCCCCCATATTTTTTCTTAGCAAAAAAAAACATGGAATACGGGGTCTCTTTGATTTGTCACTGTTACCTAGGTCTCTAAAGTTTATCTTTTTATGGGTTTTTCAGATACCTGTCTTTTTAGCTGGCTATAGTACACTTTACATCGTTTTTACCGATAGCAAAAGATTTTCCAGCACTAAAAAATTTCTCACCAGTCGGTTGACTCGCACTATTTCCTGCTTCCGAACGAAAAATTCTGAAGCGCACGTTCGCCGAGGCTGCCGGGTAGTAGGTTTTCAATTGTTTCTGTTGACTCAATGTATAAATCGACCCTCTGGTCAACATACAAAAAGCTATGGAAAACAGCCCATAGAAATAGATGGTTTTCGTATTAAAAATGGTGATTTTCTATAGCTATGTTAAATTACCAGAGGGTATACAGAATGATATCATGATCTATCATGATCTATTCATCCATCTACCTAGAGCTAAAAAAAAACCTCTGTTTTATGGTCGGTCCATGGCTTGAGTCAGTATCGGCTTTTACTAATACGTTTTATCAAAACAACGGTTCCCCTGCAGAAAAAACGTCTTTTTCCAATAAACCTTCATTTTGTGTGTGCACTTGCCTTGCCAAGCGTGTGAGGTCATATATTGATTTGCTTAGTTTGCAGACACAGCCACTGATGATGAAATGAAGTGAAAATCAAAGATCAAGACTAACAAGTAACCAACCCATGCCAGCTAATATCAATAAAAGGGCAGGGTCAGGCCTCAGGTTTGCGTAGAAAGCGGCTGCTATTAGAACTTGAAAACCAATGTGGATTTGAACTTTGGATCTTCGAGTGGGAAAATGCAGTCGATTATTTGCTATTCAACCCTTTTTGTTTCGAAGCTGGGAGATTACAAGTTGGACATCCAGCGTGCGATTTGTTCAAAATTTGTTAATTTCTATGCCCCTGGAATGGTGAAAACATGGGGACCCCAACATTTTCCCGTACTTATCCCGTATTTACCCCGTACTAAACCCGTATTATAGAAATTTGAATAAAACCCCGGCTTTCAAAAACCCGCAATTAACCCATATTAACCCAAAAAAAAAACGTAATTAACCCGTGGAAACCCGTAAAAAAAATATATGGGTTTTGTGGGTCTGGCCCGTAGGCTGCCATAAATAGGGTTTTTAGGCCCACTGATGGTCTTTGCACGGACAAATTTCATCAGAAGACGGGTCGCTTGCTCATCGTGAAATATTTATTTGCAAATGCACAATTCAAGTATGCTCCTGGTATGCAAAAATTGACATTGTTTGTCGGAGCATTTTCGTCGAAGGAAAGTTGTAGGGCATGCATTTGAGAAATGTAGGAATAGTTTCCCAACAATGTCTCTAGCCCGGCACGACACAAGACCACTGGCAGCATGCTGATAACTACATTGTTAATTTTTGAGCATCAAAGGCAAGACTTTATGGGAAAGTGCACTAATGGAAAATTGGGAAATTCAAAAAAAAAACAGGTTTTTGAATGAAAACATGATAAAACATGGATAAAACATGATAAAACCCCGTCTTTTTCCGATCAATCCTGCCTTTAATTAGCGGTTTCGGGTTCCCCTTTTGGGTACACCTCTCGGCCAGGTCACGGAAGAGCTCCAGAATCTGTGCGGATTCCCTTCTCAACGGCTGCAACCTTGGAATGCGCCCCCTGCCCGGAAAAAATCCTGGGTTCAAGGAATACCCGGCCTGGTAAACATACAACAAACGACGGAAAATCACCGTTTTTAATGGGTAAATCAACTGTTTCTATGGCCATTTTTAACCCTCTGGCTATTTAAACTATGGAAAATCAGTGTTTTTAATGGGTAAATCAACTGTTTCGACTGGGCCATTTTCAACAGCTATGATTGAATAGTGATACCCTCTGGTAAATTTGACATCTGGTTGGTGGTTGAGCCTACCCCTCTGAAAAATATGAAAGTCAGTACGGGATTATTATTGCCTGGAAAAATACAAAATGTTCCAAACCACCAACCAGACATAGACCCTGAAAATCACCCATTTTTAGAGGTTTCACTCATCTTTCAACCCGAAAACTGCGACCGGGTCGAAGTGTTAATTTACTGGAGGGTGATGTCCACGATTTCAGGGATTTAGATGTCTTCAAATAACCCAAAAAATGGATTTAAGCAGGAAAGATCAGATTTAGTGGGGATACAACTGGTTCAGTTTAAGAGAAGTAGGATATAGAAACAGATCCTTTCAGTGGGGTATCCTTGCAGTGGGATAAAACAAACAGATACAATACTACAAGGTGGGGCCCCCAAATGATAGCTAAGTCGGTTTATAGCTAGGTGAAATTTATGGCCTATTGTAGATATATCGAACTAGTTAAAGCAACAAACATAGCTGGGGGGCCTCACGGTGCCAGAGCAGATCACCGTCATCTAGAAACAGCCATACGCTACTTGTTTTCCAGGGGGTCTCTGTGCAAGTTCCAACCAAAATTCATGGCAAATCTTCCAGACGCTGCAAAAATTCCACAGTGATTTGTTGGCAGTACGAATTCACCAATCACAATTCCCACCATTCCAGTCATGTCATTTCAGGGTAAAACAAGACAATAAATCACCCCATGTTTGATGGTTTATACCACCTAATTATGGTGATTTTTACATATTCTTACCCACATTAGCCATATTTTACATGTCAATTTCCCCAGCCTTTCCGCCTTTCCAGGCAACAAATCCTCCAAAATCTGCTGCAGCGCCGCCCGCGCCGTAGGGAAGAACACCTCCGCGCCACCGGAACCGAGGCGGTTGAGCTGCGTCGCCAGACGCGCGAGGCAACGGTTCTGCATCTCACGGCGGTCCATGGTCCTGGAAAAATGGGGAAAATGGCAACTCAGTTGCCCAGATGCTCCATGGTGGAATATCTGCCTACATAAAAACCCAAAAAATGACCCAGTTTTGTAAATATTCCGGCACCATGGAGCATCTGGGTTGGTGAATGATGTGGTTAATGTGGTTTTATATGGTTTCATACGGAGAATAAAGCAAGAATCATGGGATAATCATAGGTTATTGATAGGACAACTGCTGCAGTTATGGATCAGTTATGGCCCTTAAAGAGTTTAACTACAAGATGGTGCCCCAGTTCGGAATCCCACGTTGATGGGAAAATTGACTTGGTGAATTCTATGGTTTAGCCAACATTCCCATCACTGGCGAAGCATCGAAATATCTACGATCTCAACATGGATTTTTTTTAGGTTTTACCCGGCCTGGTTATGTCAAAATAGCTATTGAAAATGGCCATAGAAATAGTGGATTTACCCATTAATAATGGCCATTTTCAATAGCTATGTTAAATTACCAGAGGGTAACCATGAAAAAAATGAAATTTCACCATCACAAATCTGGGATTTCACCATCACAAATCTGGGATTTGACTATCTGGATCTATCTGGATCTATCTAAACGTGGCTGGAAAAATCCTAATAAATGATGATAAAGGACGATAGATGGAGGTTTTAATGATTTTGAATGGGATTTAGTTTCACTGTGAAAGTCAAAGTTTAAACTATCAGAAATGCTGTGTTTCATTGTTTTTCAGTGGCTGTGCTTCAGGGTTCCTCTTGTGGACAGAAAGAAAAATCAACATGGTGACATGGTGACATCAGGGATTTACCAACAAGGAATGCGAAAATACCATCTGGTTATGACTAACATAGTGAACTGGAAAAGCGATGAAATAAATGGAGGTTTAGTTCGCTGGGAAAATCATCTGAGAAAAGGGCCATGATGGCCATGGCTTCCGGTTCGCTATGTTCAATAGCCAGCGGGTAATTGCAAGAGTCATGTGATACTCAGGATGAGTGCTTGGTAGGGGCTGTCGTACCGATGTGACCAAGCCAATTTACTTGTGGAGGTCCATGGTCCTGCTTGACTTGCATGTGCGGGACAAAATAGGTATATTGTTAACAACTAGAACACTTTGGGACTATGCATAGAAACTGATTCTTTCCATCAAAAATCTGGAGTTCACTCAAAAAGTTTGAACTGGTAAAAATAGATCCCAAGTAATACCAGTACTTCACAGTATCTCCATGTTTTTTCTATAACATTCTATAATTGGCTCCCAAAAAAATACCGGTAATTTAAGATCGCGAACTGGAAAATCACCATTTTTCAAAGGTAAACCATCTATAAATAGGCAATGTTCCATAAATAGCATCAATAGATGGTTTACTATTTCCATAATGGCCCATTTATAGTTGATTTACCCAGCTATATAGCATGGTGATTTTCCATAGCTTTGTGTATGTTTACCAGGCCGGGACTCCGTTTAACTCCGCTGATTCCCTTAGTCGTCATCACCGTCGTCACCTTGACTCCGCAAGCAGCTCCGACAAAATGCTGAGGCCACCATGGTCCATCATGCAGGGGATCAAGTCGCTGAAGAAGGAGAGCCGGTGGAGCCTTAGTAACTTAGGCCAAATCTCTTGGCTTTTTTGACCTTGGAGCCTTGGGGAGATCTGGCCAAAATATCAATGGCTATGCAACAGGAACCGATTGATTGGAGGTACCGATTCCATATATAAGGCCTATATAAGGCCTATGTAAGGGAATATCCCCACAAAATATGGCCTTATATAGTACAGTACCTCCATTTTAAGATCCTGAAATTCCCATTGAAAATAGTAGCCTCTGGTTTTGACTAACATAGCCATGGTATAGATGGCAAATTTAGATGTATGTTGATGATTTTCTGTACCCATTATAAAAATATGTTCAATACATAATATAGAGATAGATATCTCATATAACCATGGTGCCCAGTTGTAAGTTGGTTCAAAAGCACTCCATTTTGCCTATAGGACTATAGTTATATACTATAGTTATATCTTGTTGGTGGTATTATACCTACCCCTCTGAAAAATATGATGGAGTTCGTCAGTTGGGATGATGACATTCCCAATATATGGAAAAAAAATGTTGCAAACCACCAACCAGATATAGATCAGGGTAGCCTCTGGTTATGACTAACATAGCCATGGAAAGTGGCAAATTTATGTTTTTTGATGATTTCCCATTAAAATTGATGTTATATATTGAATAATAGCAGATACCCTTTGGTAAACATACAATAAACTATACTGTATATGGAAAATCACCATGCTATCATGCTATTAATGGGTAAATCAACTATAAATAATCTATACAATATATATCCCTAAGTAAAATACATTTAAAATACTATTTTCCAATAGTAAAATACATTGATAATACATAATCTATACATATCTAATTATCTACATTGGGATTACCTGTTTTCAATACATTATATATATATATATCCAAGTTTTATATCTGTATTTTCAATGGATGTCTTTATATTGAAAAATGGCATATAGATTATCAATGTGTTCAACACATATTTCAATGTTTGCGGATTTACTATCATATAATTAATATAGGGGATAGATTTTAAAGTCATATCATTACATATATCAATGTTTGCAATACTGATGTGGATATCATGTATATGATCAATACATATCAATATATGATATACAGATCAATACATGATATGTAGCATTTGGTTGCAATATCACATACTTGGATTTGCTGATTCGGGGTTTCCAAAAAAAAAAATCTTCACTTATTCGATTCCCCAGTCATGGTGGATTTTCCATTGGGAAAATAAGCCAAAACACCGACTAAACAAACAAGGTGATACAGCCCTACAGGGTGAGGTTTTGGCCCGTACGAATCCTTACGAAATAGCCAAAGGTTGACCCCCCACGTTCACAAACGTTCGGTGAATTCGATGGTTGGGTGAGTCGAAAGCAACTAACTGGGAGGCCTCACCTTGTACATACTATATAATATCATATATTAGCATTATATCGTTAAATAATTGTATATTTATATCATTATGTCATTATATAAGTATATATTATGTCATTTATATCATTTATATCATTATGTCATTTATATCATTATATCGTTATATGATTATATTTAATAGTCACACCTATTGGTGGGATTTTCCATCTCCCCAACTGACAACCCTGCCGTGAGTTGAGAGTTGGAAAATGTTGGAAGACTACGTTCCTCTAAAAGGTAGTGATTCTCAGAGTCTATGTTAGTTGGGGCGATGATGATTGGGTTTTTGCCTGGATTTTTAGTGCAGGGTGTGCCGGAAAATGGCGGATTTGATTGATCAATCCCACTTTATTGCAATTTCATGCAATTTCTACATCCCGATAATTGTTTCTCGAGTTCGGATTTGGGGATGTCCTATTCTCCAAGACGAATGTGGCCGCACACTGTGAGGACTATTATATATCAATTTTGTAGGTGTGTGAGAGGCTGGTGCATGCTCCATTCCCTGGCCATTGAAACCCAGAGAATGGTGGTTGATTATAACTGGATTCTTGAGGTAGCCGGGAGTACCAGGCTACATGGACCAGAAAAGTGCCGTGCCAGAAATTGGTCCGCACCGCCCATTGCTGGAACCACTGTCCCTCCCAAACTGTTTGGAAGATCTTCCAGTTGTGCCTGAAAATTTCACGGCGCCCCACACATCCTTCCTGGTTGATTCTACTCCATCATCTTCCGTGGATTTTGGTCCCGTGGTATACCCCATTGACCCAGATTGGACTGAAGACTTCAGGCTTTGCCACATTTTCCAAATCAGCGGAGTTTTGGAATGTTTCGAATTTGTAAAACGGACCTGCGAGTAGAACATCATGGAAAATCAACACAGAATGGTCTTGGCCGGTCAGTGTTTGGTGAATTCATCGAAATGTCTGTTCCTTGTGAATGTGTTCTAATTCTTCGTTCCTGCATTTTGGTACCTACGATGGTAGCATTTTTTGTTGGCGTCAGTCTTCTCGGACATGTATCTGTATATATGTATATATACATTGTTTGTTTGTTTGTTTTTAATATGCACGCCTTTGCATAAATATGATACTACGTTGCAAAATATACTATAATCCATATCTATTCCGCATATAGTGCATGCATATAGATGTTACACTAGATACATATATGTATGATTATACAAGAATAAACAAACAGATATAATATTAAACATAGTATATATATATATTATTTACAAGTTGGTGCCCCCACAACCGTTCTAACTTGCTGTATAACCACTATTCACCAGTTCGGTATATCGATCCACAAAGCCAATTTATGGGAGTTAGAAACGAAGTTGTCTATGGATCAATGATGATCAATACAGGATGGGGCCCTCCCAGTTATAAGTTGGTTTATAACCCCATCTAATATAATTATAGTAATAAACCAACTATTGTTATTATAGTTATAAACCAACTTAGCTAACGAACTGGGGCCCCATCCTGTAGCTATTTCCTATCATTTTGTGGATACAAACATCCATAACAACCAGCTATTTTGATGTGAGTCACGGGCTACCTTAGGGTGACTTGACCCCAAGTCGATCGAGTCGCTTGGCGCGGTTGGACCTGGACAACGTGGGAAGAAGGCGACCTCCCAACGTGGCCCGGGCAGCGGAGAAGGAGTGATGCCAGGCGTTCAAGTGCCTCGGAGATCAGGAGATGGTATGGATATAACCTTTATAACCCCATAGGATCCATGTATGGTATATATGCTAACATAAAGGGGGTATATTGATGGTAAAATATGGGAAATGTTACCATATATAGCATACATGGACCCTATGGGAACTGATGTCATGATGAATATATTTCATGATTAGTAGATGAGTTTTTTTTGATTGGATACAATTGATCAATGGGAGACCTAAAAAGGAACCGATTTATTGGAGGTACCGATTCCATATATGTTAGGCCTATGTTCTAGGCCTATGTTCTAGGCCTATACAACGGAATATCCCAACAAAATAGAGCCAAAAATATGGTACGTTTACGTACCTCCATCTGTTGGATCCTGAAATGATTAGTATATAGATGGGATAATTATACCGACATTATACTACTAATCATAGATTCTAGAATGGATATAGAACTCATGATTAGTAGATAGTTACCAATAACTATATGATCATAAAACGATAATCATATGATCCAATCAATGATAAATATGATCCAATGAATACTAAATATGTTATAATTCAATGGGTTAACGATGGATAACGATTGGATTTATGCTGGGGATTCATCTACAGTTAGACGGGGTTATAAATCAACAAAGATGACTGGGGGAGCACCAACTTGCAATGGTTTATCCTGTTTGGTTGTCATCCAGGAATATTGAACATGATCATGGGTGCGTGATATGTTGCACTGCTGCATGCGTCACATTTGGGTTCATGCAAAATAGTGTTGGCACAATTTGCATATATATATATATATACATACTGTATCTATTTATAATAGTTATATAATATAATTTATATACTATATATATATATATGTACGGTAACCGTAACATAAATCCCACCATTGCAAAGGCTTACAATTTAAGTGAGAAAATGAAGATTGATCTTTGGAATTGGACATAGCCTATTTTCTGCGGGGTGTCTGATGGCGCACCAAGAGAGAGCCAGAAAGAACTGGGTCCAAACTCCATGAACTGTATGTTTCACATGGGTCTGCAATAACCTGGGAGATACACAAACATGGAACATGATGGTCAACCTTATTTTCAGACAAATCATGACAACTCTACTCAGTGTTGCAACAGTAACTTTCAGGCCTTTTCCTGCACGGCCTTTTTTTTTGAAAGCACTTCCCTCCAACATCAAGAAACCTTGAATGAAATACGACCTGTGAAAAAACTTCCTACAGATATGCCTGTGCCACTTGGTTTGCAACTGTAGAGACGTCACCACCATCACTTGGATCCCCAAGACACAAGTGACATCAACCGCATTGCAGCAAATGCGCCTCTAGTTGCCTGAACCTGTTGGACGCTCTTGAGCTGATCTTGGACGCGAGAGCTGTCGCCACCAGCGTAGCCCCAAGTCACCACTGACCCATCTACCAGAATTGCGGCAAATGCCTGCAGTGTTGCTTGAACCTGCTGGACACCTTTGAGCCGACCCCAGACTTGAGAGCTGTCACCGCCAAACTCTTCATCACCCCAAGTCACGACTAACCCGTCTGCCAGGATTGCAGCAAATGCGCCATCTCCAGTTGCTTGAACCTGCTGGACACCATTGAGCTGATCTTGGATTTCAGAGCTGTCACGACCACAATCTGGATGGCCCCATGTGACAACCCGGTCGCTTCCACAGCAGAACGATGCAACAGCTAGGTCTGTTGCCGCTAGCTTTGGCTCTATGGCAACAGCTGTGAGGTCGTCTCCATCTTGACGTCCTGCAGATTGCAGAGACTTTGTAGGATCCACCACGCTATGGTCCCACTAGCCTCAAGAAGCCACGTCGCAACGATTTTTGCGGCAGAACCTGCAAGTCCCCTACTTTGGAGGACTGTGGGAGCAGAAATGTCTCATTCTGACCGCTTGGCAAAGCTACTGCGAGTTGTAGCATCAAACACCAGCGATGAATTTTGAGCCAAAATATCAATGGGAGACCTTCAGGATCCGATTGATTGGAGGTACCTACTATACAAAAGGCCTATTTTTTTGGGCTATGTAAGGGGATATCCCCACAAAATACGGCCAAACATATGGTACTAACGTACCTCCATTTTAGGATCCTGGCTTGGGGGAACAAGATTCGAGTCTGCAGATGCTGGCTGTCTTCAATATTCAACAGGAAGGCGTTGCACACTGATATTAGTTGGTTTATAAACCTATCTGATCTATCTATGATTAGAAGTATCCACCATAAATCAGAAATCCTAATTTTTATAACCATTTATAGATCATAGCTATAGATCAACAGAAACCCCTCGGAAAGCCCTTCACCACCCGAGTGAGGACATCCATGCGTTGCCGGGGCAGTTGGAGTTTGATCTCCCAATGATTTCCCATCAACTTCATTCCACCTCAGAAAATCCTGATTTAAGGAAACAAAAAACCACAACGCAGCATTTTGTTCCGGGATATCGTTGCAGTATGTTGCAGTTCTACAGCCCAACTCACGTTTTTTTTTATATGTTTTTATACTGCTTACCATGGCGGCCATGACTGTGGGATCCACTGGATCCACTGCTCCAAGTGGCACTTTGCGCAGCTCTTCTGTGGCTTTCATGGCCTCCTGCAGCTTTTCCTCCAGCAGATCCAAGACGCTACTGGCCAAAGCAGGTCCAAAGAGTGCCTCCATCGGGGCACGATGCCAATGTCTATGTTGGAGCCAGTAAAAATTGGGAGAGTTGAAGGACTTATGATCTTTTTTCAAGTGATCTTGGGTTAAAAATGTGATGTGGAAATTGTTTATTATTTATGATTTAGTGGTTGGTAGTGGTATATATAGTCTTAACTATATATGTTTATTTATATATATATATATCATTATAGAAAGATATCATTATATATAGATATCATTGTATATATATATATATGTATAGCCACTACGTATCAACTTATCATGGGTGTAACCTAAGTTCATTGAAAATGGCAAGTCAGCCACTCAGCATTCACCAGCCGCTTTCGCTCGATTCGGCGATTTACAGGGAACCTCTGGAACCTCGCTCAGTATCCTGGAGATCCTCAGGAAAATCCCCAGTGATTAGCCAAACATGCTTGTGGATATAACCTTTATAACCTTTATAACTGATGTCATGATGAGTATATTTCATGATTAGTAGATGAGTATATAGATTGGATATAATTGATCAATGGGAGACCTTCAGGAGCCGATTTATTGGAGGTACCGATTCCATATATGTTAGGCCTATTTTTTAGGGCTATGTAAGGGGATATCCCCACAAAATACGGCCAAACATATGATACTAACGTACCTCGATTTTAGGATCCTGGAATTCCCATTGATATTCATTGGGGAGACTACCCTCTGGTAAACATATTTAAAAAGCTATTGAAACTGGCCCAGTCGAAATAGTGGATTTACCCATTAACAGCATGGTGATTTTCCACAGTTATGTTAGTTTACCAGAGGCTAATCATGATGAATGGGATTAATCCAATTAGTGGTGATCATGGATTAATAAATACTGATAATGGATTGATCCCATTGATTACACTTCTGAATGGTGGGTATTGGCCATGTGGATATTAATCCAACTACTCTGGATGAAGTCCAACATTTCACTGAAACCTGTGGCCAAGCATATGCTTAGCAATTCCCATCATTTTATTGGTAGAAGTCATCCGGAATTCAGGAGTGCTCCCAACACCCCAGGTATAAAACGGTACATTGGGTATATCTAGAGGTAACATGACATCTCTCGCCTCCTTGTGGCCCCGTAATTAATGCCAGATTTTAAATCAAGGGGTTATTATTAACAACTCTTATATAAGTCCTATGAATGGGGCTTGTTAAGCCCCCTATTGTTTGGTGACCCTTCTGGGGAAAATCATTGATCTGGCCAAATTACTTTAATTCTTACCTCGTCTCCCTCGTGTCTTAATTTGTTCCCCATGATTACTGTCCTCGTTCGTTAATTTGCAGGTGCAAATTAAGGCTTTACCTCGTTAATTCGAAGGAAGAAAGTAGCTTGTGGGCCTTCTTTCCAGGGTCCAACCCCAAGGAAAAAAACTTTTCTTTTCAGCTTCCGAAAAGTTTTTTTCCACGATCCACGGTCTCTTGCAGGGATTTTTAAGTCTGAGTCTGATCGGTCTGTGCGCTTCTTGCGCTTGGGTGGTGACATCTCTGACATTATCGCAGAGATGCAATGCTCTTCTGGAGCAACTCTGAATCCTACTGCTTCTGCAGCCGTCAACCCACGAAGCGCTGGCGATAGAAAATAAAACTTTTTGGGGCCTGAAAAGTTTTTTTTCCTTCCTTGCCTGCTGACCGGCCTCTGGCGATAGAAAATAAAACTTTTTGGGGCCTAAAAGTTTTTTTTCCTTCCTTGCCTGCTGACCGGCCTCTGGCGATAGAAAATAAAACTTTTTGGGGCCTGAAAAGTTTTTTTTCCTTCCTTGCCTGCTGACCGGCCTCTGGCGATAGAAAATAAAACTTTTTGGGGCCTGAAAAGTTTTTTTTCCTTCCTTGCCTGCTGACCGGCCTCTGGCGATAGAAAATAAAACTTTTTGGGGCCTGAAAAGTTTTTTTTCCTTCCTTGCCTGCTGACCGGCCTCTGGCGATAGAAAATAAAACTTTTTGGGGCCTGAAAAGTTTTTTTTCCTTCCTTGCCTGCTGACCGGCCTCTGGCGATAGAAAATAAAACTTTTTGGGGCCTGAAAAGTTTTTTTCCTTCCTTGCCTGCTGACCGGCCTCTGGCGATAGAAAATAAAACTTTTTGGGGCCTGAAAAGTTTTTTTCCTTCCTTGCCTGCTGACCGGCCTCTGGCGATAGAAAATAAAACTTTTTGGGGCCTGAAAAGTTTTTTTTTCCTTCCTTGCCTGCTGACCGGCCTCTGGCGATAGAAAATAAAACTTTTTGGGGCCTGAAAAGTTTTTTTCCTTCCTTGCCTGCTGACCGGCCTCTGGCGATAGAAAATAAAACTTTTTGGGGCCTGAAAAGTTTTTTTTTCCTTCCTTGCCTGCTGACCGGCCTCTGGCGATAGAAAATAAAACTTTTTGGGGCCTGAAAAGTTTTTTTCCTTCCTTGCCTGCTGACCGGCCTCTGGCGATAGAAAATAAAACTTTTTGGGGCCTGAAAAGTTTTTTTTCCTTCCTTGCCTGCTGACCGGCCTCTGGCGATAGAAAATAAAACTTTTTGGGGCCTGAAAAGTTGTTTTTCCTTCCTTGCCTGCTGACCGGCCTCTGGCGATAGAAATAAAACTTTTTGGGGCCTGAAAAGTTTTTTTTCCTTCCTTGCCTGCTGACCGGCCTCTGGCCCCCAAAAAAGTTTTTCTAGCCAAGCCCAAGCATGCAACAGAACCAATGCAAGGCTACCTCGTCGAGGTCGGCTAATTCTGATGAACAAATTAAGGGCTGACCTCGCTAATTCCTGCAACCTGCCTCGTTGCCTCGGCTGTCCTCGCTATAATTTGTGCAGATTGATAATATAATCACTATAAATGGAATAATTTAACCACTATTATGGGTAATCTGCTATAATTGAATGGGTAATCATTGGTAATATAAATTAATCAATGGTAATAAGAATGAATCTGGTATCCATTTATAATGACCATTTGCAATCACCATAGAACCAGGTAAACGAGTCTTTGAATACCACCCAAAAAGAAAATACAAACTATTTATGTTTGGTCACCACAGTCCCGAAGCGACAATTTTCAAACTTCAATCACACTTGGAAATACAGATCCAGTTCCAAGTTTCCAATTTTTTCAGTGGATATATAACCATACTTGTAGGGGGGATATCCCAACCTATATCCAAACCTATGGGTTTTTTCTTCACCATGGTGCCATAAATGGGTCACCTCCCGCCCGGACCCCCAAGCCTCATTGGTTTTGAAGTTCGTGCCATGTCCATCTATGGCTTTCAATTCCCCAAGCACCTCATGGCTGCCATGGGCTGGTTTTGGGGCCTGAAAAGGATGTCATTTGACTCATTTGATTCTAAACGCCCAAAAATATTGACAGGTACTGGCAACACACAACTTTTACAGCAACTGTCGACATTTTTGATAGGCCTGGTAAAGGTTACAGTTACAGTTTTGAAACTGTCCATCATAGTTTTTTCATTTTTTTTCGATATGTTCCGTTATTGTTATGTCTCTTTGGATCAAAATAAATGCCAGCAAATATTTCTCAGGGTGATTTTTTAAGAAGTGCGTGAAACAAGCGTGGAACCACCAGCTCTTTTCTTCGGTGGTTCCATTGTTATGAGTGTCTACATAATCTCCATGTGCTTAAAGAGGCAAACACTGAATGGAAAATCCCTCAAAAAATGGTGGGCTAGTTGGGCTTTCCGCAATGCATGGTGTAAAAATGCCAATCTACAGTATTGGCTATTGAACCAATTATTGGGTAGTATGAGCAAAAAAAAAAAATCATCAACCAGCGAAGCAGCTAGGGTCTTTGAAACTACCACGTTGAATTTTAGGGGAAACAATAGCAGGGCTACAATGACTCCATATAGCTCTCAAGACGTGAATTCAGCCCCAACATCAGGGTCACTGGTGCTGTGCAACTTCGCATCTTTCATCAAAGATGTGGATACCCTAGGGTAAACATACAAAAACATGTGGAAAAGCCATGGTTTTCCTAGGAAAAATCATCTGCAAATGATGAGTTGTCCACATTTTTTTGGTATGTTTACAGGAGGGTTTTCTACCTGGCGATTGGTTGATTCCCATATTGCATCGCCACAATCCATCCAGTTACACCCCCGGTTATTCATCACACTTACCCATTGGTGGCCACTATTAACCATCATGGATGGTCGCAGTGAGGTCGTTATGATTTAGCCAAATCTATGGTCTATGATGAGTACAATGGATACAGCTGCTATTTCACCAACAGTAGTGGGATAGATACTGGGATATATATATATATATATAGATATAGATATAGATATATATATATTGGTTTTTATCCATATACCAATATGTTTCAATAATATTAAATATGATAGCCAGTATCTATCCCATTTTTTATAAGTATTATACCCAGTATTTTATATATAATGCCAACCCTGGATTAATAAACCCCTAGATTGTTTAATTGGGAGGGTACCATCAAAAAGTATTAGATGAAATGACTATTGGAGGAGTACCCCCTAATTTTCATAAACCATGGTTTAGTCTCATCCACGGTTGACATTATATATATATATATATATCTGGGTAAATTATAATATTTCACCAACCTGAATTAAGGCTATTTGGGGATGACTTCCCTTACTAACTATGATTTCCAGTGAGGGAGAACAGTGAGGTCGTGATGAAATTTACCCAGATATATATATATATAGGTTTTTATCCATATACCCATATTTGTTCAATACTATAAAATATGATAGCCAGCATCCCATATTTTATAAGTATTCTACCCAGTACTATATATATATATATTATATATATATATGTATACCCATATCACTGCTACATAGTGGGAATACACCAAGATCGCTCCCCCAAAACGGAGGCAGCAGGTCGGCCTCGCCTTGGGAGGTACACCGTCCCGGAAGAGGTAGCTCAGTGCCAGCAGGTCGGAACGATGACACCTCGTCACCAAGTTCTCGGCGGTCAAGGCCATACAATGTTTTTGGCCCCCGTTGGATAGCGTTGAGTTGGTGAACATAAGTCCAATAACTATGGTTTATGGTACTTAGAACTATAGTTACTGGGGCTTATAAACCAACTTATAACTGGGGGGGGCACATTGTAGTAAACATCCCATTGAAAACCCACCTTCTGTGGATGGTTGCGAATTCTGCACCAGTTGATAAGTGATTTACATTGATTTACCCCATTTTTTTAAAGGTGTTCTACCATCCAAAGTGGTGCAGGATTTCTTCCATCCACAGTATGTCATACAATATCATATACAAGATCACCGTAAAATGCTTGGTGGATCTCCATATTTCACTATAAATGGTGCGTTGAAAATGGGAAAATCATACCGGATTGATGTGGATTTTCCGTTGGGTGTATGCCAATTGATACCCTCTGTGCTCAAACGTAGCACCTGGAACCCCGGACTGTTTATGGAGGTGTCCAGTTTGTTCTGTCCTCATAATCCACTAGACTCAATGGTTCTGTGGGTCGAACCCAGATCATCCTAGAATAGCTGAAGGGAAAAATTATGGTTGAACCCCCCTATATGTATGCATATGTATGTGTATATATATATGTATACATATATATATATACACACACACGTTACACACATATTATATAATTATATAATATATGTATTAATATGTATTAATAGGGGCGAAAACCCATAATGTCGGGTTTCTTGCAAATGTTCTGACCAGTTCATTGAGATCAATCTACCCAGACACCTATCCATATTGTCTGCCTTTTTCAAACACACTATTGAACAAGAGGAATGTGCGCCAACATGGCTACACATATGCAAACTGGGCTAAACACGCTGAGCTGTCACCACCAGCACGTGGAACGCCCCAAGTCACAAGCGACCCATCTGCCAGGATCGCAGCAAATGCGTCCCAAGTTGCTTGAACCTGCTGGACACCTTTCAGCTGATCTTGGACTTCAGAGCTGTCACCACCTTTACGTGGATCGCCCCAAGTCACAAGCGACCCATCTGCCAGGATCGCAGCAAATGCGGATGAAGTTGCTTGAACCTGCTGGACACCTTTCAGCTGATCTTGGACTTCAGAGCTGTCACCGCCAGAATCCGGATCGCCCCAAGTCACAACAGACCCATCTGCCAGGATCGCAGCAAATGCGTTGCAAGTTGCTTGAATCTGTTGGACACCTCTCAGCTGATCTTGGACTTCCGAGCTGTCACCGCCAGAATCCGGATCGCCCCAAGTCACAACCAACCCATCCGCCAGGATCGCAGCAAATGCGCATCGAGTTGCTTGAACCTGCTGGACACCTTTCAGCTGATCTTGGACTTCAGAGCTGTCACCGCCAGAATCCGGATCGCCCCAAGTCACAACCAACCCATCCGCCAGGATCGCAGCAAATGCGTCTCCAGTTGCTTGAACCTGCTGGACACCTTTGAGCTGATCTTGGACTTCAGAGCTGTCACCGCCATAATGTGGATCGCCCCAAGTCACAACCAACCCATCCGCCAGGATCACAGCAAATGCGTCTCCAGTTGCTTGAACCTGCTGGACACCTTTCAGCTGATCTTGGACTTCAGAGCTGTCACCGCCAGAATCCGGATCGCCCCAAGTCACAACCAACCCATCCGCCAGGATCGCAGCAAATGCGTTGCAAGTTGCTTGAATCTGTTGGACACCTCTCAGCTGATCTTGGACTTCAGAGCTGTCACCGCCAGAATCCGGATCGCCCCAAGTCACAACCAACCCATCCGCCAGGATCGCAGCAAATGCGCATCGAGTTGCTTGAACCTGCTGGACACCCTTGAGCTGATCTTGGACCTCAGAGCTGTCACCGCCAGAATCCGGATCGCCCCAAGTCACAACCAACCCATCCGCTAGGATCGCAGCAAATGCGTTGCAAGTTGCTTGAATCTGCTGGACACCCTTGAGTTGATCTTGGACTTCAGAGCTGTCACCGCCATAACCTGGATCGCCCCACGTCACAACCCGGTTGCCTCCGCTAAAAAACAACGCAAAAACTGAGTGTGTTTTTGCTAGTTTTGGTTCTACAGCGATAGCTGTCAGATGGTCTCCATCTTCAAGTCCTGCAGCTTGCAGAGACAATGTAGGATCCACCTCGCTATGGTCTGCAGCCACTAGCCTCAAGAAGCCACGTCGGAGTAAGTTCTGCGCCAGAGCCCGCAAGTCCCCAACTTTGCAGGACGATTCAAGCGAAAATGTTTCACCTTGACCGCTTGGCAATGCTACAGTGACATGAAGCATGCGTCAAGAATCTCAAATGTACCAGTTTCTCGAATTGATTTTGAGCCTAAGATCGACGCGTTCTCGTCCTTAGGTAAATCCTGAAGAACATATATCCTATGGATTGGATGTCATCACCTAGACATCACCATATCGGCAAAATGAACAACCACCAAAAAAACACTAATAGACAAAAAAAGCTAACATCTTGGAAAAGCAGTTTCATGGATACAGTACAGAGGTGGTAACCAGGACGGGTGCCTTTATTCTAACCATGGAGTATATTTGGTTCCTCATCAAACTAGGAGAATGCACCCAGAGAGCAGAATCCACCACCGCTCACGAGATGGGTGGCCACGGTGTGGATTTCACGGGAAGGTTTGCTTTGACCCATCCCCTATGGTTGACAGACCACATATGGTTTTCATTCGTCATTCCCCAGCATCACGAGAGAAACAAAGGCAAACCCCCCAAGTACGGATACTAGGAATCCTTAATTTGCAGGCATACGCATAACCAGAAGGCCCCGAGTTGTTTGGGAGTCTAACATTTCTGAAATCGATTCAATGGGTAGCCTGTCGCTGCGAAAAATCCGTACAAAGCTTTGGTGTCCTTTGTGATTCGCCATTGTTGGTATCTCTGGGTGAAGGTGCAATCCCATCTCCCGATCATATCAAATACCAACGAAACTCTGGTAACATGTATTGCATCCAAGCATGAATAGTTGCCCCAGAAATTGGAGGATTCATGGTACTTCATGTCAGGAGGAAGGGGACTACTAATTGCGTTTATCCTGGCCAATACAGCGCACCAACTTGTTATAAACTTCTTGGTATATACTTGTATATCAAAGTCCCTTCCAACTGACCAAGTTGTAACTTATATTGTATGTCTCTATGGGTCAAAAGCCTGTTCACCACCAAACCAGGTGGATGTTCATCCGGCGAACAGTGATCTGGAAAGTATTTACCCATCATATAATATGACACAGAGGCTCAAAACCATCGAGCCTCCAAAATATCCAAATGAGACCTGTGAATACGGGAAGAGCCCCTAAGTTCTAAGATGTCATGAGTTGTTTTTAGCTCAATCGGAAACTAGTTCGATATGATTCTGATTGATGATCCACAAAATCCAATCGTTAGCCTAATGATAAACGATTGAAGATTGAGGGTTACCCTCTGGTAAACTAACATAGCTGTTGAAAATCGCTATAGAAATAGTTGATTTACCCATTAATGGTGTTTTTCCAGTTCGCAAACTGTAAACGTTTACCAGAGGGTAACATCTATTGATCCATAAAATCCAATCGTTAGCCTAATAATAAACTATAAGATTGGGAGTCAACATCTAAAATGATAACTTATATGAGCCAACCCCTATGGCCGTTCTCCAAGCTGATCCAAGCGGCCAAGCACAAGCGTGAAGGCCTTCGGCGGACACAAAGGTTGGATGGAAAAATCCAACCTTTGAAGTGGTGAAAATTAGCTGTATATACTGTGTACATATATATATATATGTATATATGTATATATATGTATATATATATATGTATATATATATATATATATGCAGATGTGTTTATTTATATACTTACATATATATGTATATATGGGGGTAAATTAGATGTATATATATATACCATTAAGCATGTCCAAAAAGATGTGGAAAACCCATGGGAAAACCAATCCTATGGCCCATCAAAGTGGTCAATGATAAGCTGGATGTGTTTAACTGCAATTCTGGCCCTCAACATTCGTAACTGCCTTACAACCCCATTTAAGTGATATATAACCTTAGTTGCGGGAGGTATAATCCCATTTACAACTGTAAAGCCAATAACTGTGGCTTGTAAGAATAGTTCTGAGCCACTCACGAATTATTTGGCTGCTAAGGGTCCCCATCTTTGCTTGACAAAAATCCACGTAATTTGGATAGAGAACTTGATAAAATCAACCTGACAAATTAATATTTTCATAACTTGATATCCACTTTGATATATTGCAAAAGCCAAGTTAATATGATTTCATTTACATACCCAGATGCTCCATGGTGCTGGAATATTTACCTACATAAAAACCCCAAAAATGACCCAGTTTTTGTAGGTAAATATTCCAGCACCATGGTTCGCATCTGGGATAGGAATCCTCGCAATCCACCTGGTAGTTGCTCGTCCGCCGCGTAGAGAGCAGCTTCCAGCTGCGGCGGTGAAAAAAAAATCAGTGCCATAAAATGGGGATAACACGTGAAAAACTAGGAGAAATGGAGGTTTTACCCAGGAAAATTTGGGTAGTTTAACTAGTTTAACTATCAGCTATGCTATGGAAGCCATAGCCCATTTAAGTAGATCATTTATGTATTGAAAAGTGATTTGTCCATAGCTATGTTAGTTTAATTTACTAGAGGGTATGTGCCATAAAATTGGTATAACCATGGTTACTTGGAGGACCACCCTGCTTAGTAAGTGGTTGATAAGCTTAGTAAGTACACAAATGCAAGAAACCACTGTAATCAGAAATCTCACGTGTATACATATATAGCTTGTATAATATATAGATAACAAATACATATATAGTATATGTAACTTATGTGTGTGGAGTATATGTAGTATATTGTCAGTACTGTTGTGTTTTTGCCGGGACCACTAGTTTTGGTCCATTCTGCAGCTGGTAGAGTCCTCATGCTACATCGGCTTGACCCGGTCAAGGAGCCGCAAATGATGGGGAAGAAACACAAAATCTATGTATACCCTCTGGTAAACTAACATAGCCACGGTTGGTCAGTTCTACGGTTGGTTAGTTCTATGGTTTCTATGGTTAGTTCTATGGTTAATGGGGTTACCCTCTGGTAAACGAACAGTTTGCTATTCAAAATGGCCATAGAAATAGTGAGTTTTCCCATAAATAGCATGGTGATTTTCCATAGTTATGTAAACGTTTACCAGAGGGTACATCCTGCAAAACCTGTTCGGTTGATTTTTTTCGGGCTCATGGCGATGTTTGTGGAGATAGAACGGGAGGGAATTACAGGGACATGTTTGAACAGTGCTTTAGACCCAGTAAAAAGACATGTGGTTTCAACTATTTAAAACCCAGCAATGCTGGTAAAAAAAAAAAAAGAAATAATGTTAAAACCCAACAATGTTTATGGCATGGGGTTTGGCACATGAATTACTCTGGGTAGATTATAAAATGTGACGTGCGGCTATTTGTGGATGATTCCCCTGTACCTACTAACCATCATTCCAGTGAGGTCGCGACGTGAGGTCGCAACATAATTTATTCAGATATAGATAGATAGGTGTATATATATATACCCATATGTATGGAATATTTACCAACATTTACCCTAAAAATCACCCAAATGTAGGAAAATATACCATACATGGAGCATGTGGGATATATATCCTGATTATATGCGCATGGTCCCACTATTTTTCTCGGCTGAATCCCCATTCTTGGCCTCTGTGCCACAAGTTGGTGGCGACCCCAGTGATGCGAACCAACTTCTCGCGATGAATCGCGAAGGTATGGGGCTTGCCACCTTGCAAGTATTAACTCCTCACATTTCTCATGATCATTGGGTTGGTTTAAGGGAAAACCTACAGGAAACCATAGTTTGTTCCATCAAATATAGGGCTTTCCTGTAAATTTTCCAATCATCCAATTCTATGACATGAGCAAGAGAATAAAGTAATGATTCTCAAGTTAATTATCATATCTCCTGTTAACTCCTATGATTATTCCATTATCCCAATATTCTCCCAGTTTTAAACCATGTTCAGCAAAGCATCATTCAATCAGACTCTTATGGCTATTAAATGCTATTAAACCATATCAAACACATCACTCTTAGGGATTCTCCTACGAAACCTGCCATCACCAGATGCCATGGTTTATCCCATCACCAGATCTTCCCATTCCGATACTCACCTCGAGAAGCTCCGCCGCCACCCGTGGAAAGCCGAAGCGCTGCGCCAGGTATTGGCAGTAGCTGCGCATTAAGCCTGGGACTAAGCTGAGCCTCTAGCAGCCTCTGGTCATTGAGCCATTCAAAATACCCCGTTTTCCCATGGTCCATACAGGCTATGTTCAATGATACTAGCTGGTTGATAACCCAGTATGATAGTAGTATAATATAGTCATTATGATAACCCAGCTATACTAGTTGGTTGATAGGTTTCGCTACTGGTTATCATAATCCCCTATCATAACCAGGTAGTATAATCCCCCAATCAGCAATCAATTCACCAGGGTATTTTGTTCATGGCTCAATTTAAGATTGGCTTGTCAATAGGAGAACCTTCATGGGATCTTGACTGGGATTGGACCAACCATAATGTTGACTGAGCATAAATATGATATATGGGACAATATAAGACCAATAGGATCTTGAAGAACTGGGGTCCAAAAAATGGAGAAAAACATGGAGAAAATTGGGATAATATGGTTTTATATGGTTTTATATGGTTTAAAACTGGTAAAAATATTGGGATAATGATGGAATAATCATAGAATATCAACGGATTTACCCTCTGTCATCGTGGCTGGAAAATCCTCGCACCATCCATGGAGATTTGTCAAGTTTGGTGGGAAAATCACCGAGCAAAATTTGGATTTTTTCCACGGGAGGATTTTTCTAAGATTGCTCATGTCAAGCCCAATTTGTGATAGTTTGCAGCCACTTCATGAGGAATATTCCCAACGTCGCTAAATCTTATTGGGCTGTGAATCTGAAGCTATTTTTCCTGCTGGATCCCCGTGAAAAAACCAGGCGTTGGATCAGTGCCTGGATTATGGTGTCTGAAAATAAAGTATGCCTCCAAATAGCCTTTGCTAGGGGGAAAGTGATGAATAATCGATTATTAAATTGTGGATGGAATGGAGTACCTTATTTCAGACAAACCCATGTATGACTGTGGGTCGTCAAGAACCCCGCAAATCCCCCCAGGTCAGTGACTCCCTCATAATGGAGGGTTAATACAAGGTGGTGCCCCAGTTTGTTAGCGAATTTCAGTTGACATGCAAATACCTTAAGGTGAATTCTATGGTTTATGGTAGGTATATCACACTAGTTACGAATTGGTTTATAAACCAACGTTCACATAACTTTATCCCATTACTATTCCATGTAAAATCCCTATTAAACCATGTAAAATCTTAGATATCAAGGTTCACATCACTGGGTTTACCACCTCAAGATTCGCCCTGGAGATAGCAGATTGGTGAGGTCACCTCTAGGTGAACTTCCATCGTGATTTTGAATGGGATTGTCTGGTGATTTGCGGTTAGTGAAATGGTGGTTTAATGAGACTTAATGGGAAAAAAAAACACTAGCAGGGTTATATGGGTTTGATGGGTTTTGCTCACAAAAAATCACGTTATATCCCCATACATCACCATTATATAATGGGATTTAATGAGGATTCTATGGTGATTCATGGTGATTTTTGATTGGAAAATCTAGGTGTGCAGGCCAGTGATGACGTACTTATGGCTATATCGATGGTGAACTAAACCCCCATAAGATTGGATATAACCCCATCCACTTTGTTCTCTGGAACTGCACTTCCGGTCAAGACATGGTATCTTAGGGTATGGTCATCCATTTCATAGGAATCCTTACAAAAACGGATTTTTTTCAAGCCCTGTGTCATGGATGACCATCCCCCAACTGGCTGCCTGAGTTGACCACGCAGTCAGAGAGTTTGTAGAAGGGATGCCTGGGTGGATGTTTTTTCACGTCCCACTTGGATGTGGATCCCAGATATTTGGGATATGTGAAATATCTATCTATATCCTCATGCTGTCTATATATTTATATACACACATTAAATTATCAATCTATAAATCTATAATCTATATATCATATTATCTATGTAATGTAATATATATATATATGTATTATTATATATATTACTGTATATATATATAGTATATATATATTATTGTACATGTATATATATATATATATAGTATTGCATTTCATGTGTATTTATACCTGCAGTATATGGTGATTAGTTATTGACCCACTACCTGCGATGCAGCACCCAGTGTGCCGTTGAACTGACTCAGAGCCTGGCCTTGATGGCTCTAAACCATGGCCAGCGCCACCATGTGCCGCTGCAAGTATGCTTAACATTGTATGTTGGGTATACATTATATGGGTTTGTCTGAAAATAGTGTATCTCATATTCCAATGGATTATCACCATGTTCCCCATTAAAATTGCTATTTGTGGGTATCCCCTATTTTCAGACAAACCCATATAAACATATTTACTTACCAGTAGAACGAAGGTTAAAAATTCACTCTTCGGACCCAGTAACCACTTATTTCCAGTTCTTCTAGCCAATTTCGTATAAACCCAACTTGCTGTAGTTGGGTGCTTTGGGGTGAAACGAATGGAAATAGACATGGCTCTCCAGCGATGACACTGACAAATGGTGTGTGGTCGCAAAGCCTATTGAAAAAGAAGAAACACCTTACCGTCTGGTAAACAAACATAGCTATTGAAAATGGCCATTCATAGTTGATTTACCCGTTAAAAATGGTGATTGTCCATAGTTATGTTATGTTAGTTTACCAGAGGGTAAACCCAACTTTATGATACTTAGTGGGGGTTACTGGAGGTCAGCTTCCGCCATTCAGCCCCCATCACGCCATGCTGCTTCTTCCAGGCAGAGCTTGCAGCTGTCACCAAGTCCGAGTCCGGATCCGCACGACTGTCCAGGAGGCACCTCGAGATCTCCACGGCTATGCTATGGGCACCAAACAGGATCCGGATGGTACCCTAAGATGGCTGGGATTTATGGATGATTCCCCCAGTAAAAATATGGTAAAAATGTGTGAATTGACCCATCCCCACAGTTTCAAGCTCCACTTTTTCTGGGTGAAATCTCCATGTTTTGTAACGATGCAAATCTGTTCAAGGCACTCCTGCAGCATGTGGAAGAGGTGCGGATAGCAGGGTAGCACCGCAGTCTCCTTGCATCCGCGTGGGCTTCGGACCCTGAACTCAGAAACCAAGGGAGAATTCTGTGAATTCAATATATAGCAATTTCATGGGGTTTAACGGTACTTTAATGAGATTTACTTTCATGAAATTTGACCAACCATTATGTATACATAGTAGTACATTGCAACGTGGGGATACCTTCTGGCTTGTGGGGAGAAAACTATCCCATATGCTCCATGGTGATGGAATATTGACCTACAATTTCTTGCTATTTTTGGGGTAAACGACTTGCAAGAAGCCTATGATAGTTGAGCATTAAAGAAACCATCTCCACAGACATTTGAGGAACGGGTGATCTTTGGGAATTCCTTGTTGACAAGCCTGTCTTTAAAAGCCACCAAGGTGAGCCTGCCGCTGGAACTTCTTTGCTCTCACAGGATGTCTCTCAACCAAGCCTTGGGATTTTGCTTGGGCGCGATTCGCTCCGGATCTTTCCCAAGAAACGGACCACCTCAGAATGACCGCCTTGAGATGCCAGATCCAGAGCAGTTCTTCCACTGCGTGTAGTTGCGTGACTATCTGCGCCTCTTTCAATCAGAAAACGAACAATTTCAACATGGCCCATTTCTGCCGCAGCATGTAAGGCTGTTGCTCCAGTCTTCCTGGTTGCCTCATTTTGGCGGGCGCCAACCTCTACCAAGTGACGAACGACCTCAAGATGACCTCGACTTGCTGCGATGGACCATGGTGTTACGCCAAGGTTCGTGGCTTGATCTATCTGGGCACCGACTTCCACCAGATGACGGACGACATCAAGATGGCCTTCCTGTGCTGCCATGAACAATGGCGTTGCGCCAGCGTTCAGTGCTTGATCTTTGTGGGCACCGACTTCCACCAGATGACGAACGACATCAAGATGGCCTTCCTGTGCTGCGATGAACAACGGCGTTGCGCCATCGTTTGCGGCTTGATCTTTGTGGGCACCAACTTCCACCAGATGACGAACGACCTCAAGATGACCTCGACGTGCTGCGATGAACAATGGCGTTGCGCCATCGTTCGGTGCTTGATCTTTGTGGGCACCAACTTCCACCAAATGACGAACGACATCAAGATGGCCTTCGTGTGCTGCGATGAGCAATGGTGTTGCGCCATAGTTCGTGGCTTGATCTTTGTGGGCACCGACTCCCACCAGATGACGAACGACATCAAGATGGCCTTCCTCTGCGGCGATGAACAATGGTGTTTCACCATCAACGTTTGCTTGATCTTTGTCGGCACCTGCTTCAATCAACAACTGCAGGCTTTCAACATGTCCTCTTTCTGCGGCACAGTGCAACGGTATTGTGCCATGTTCGTCCCTCACATTTGGGTTCAAAGGTTTTTTCAGCAAACTCTCAAGTTCAATCAATTCATTGTTGGTGGATGCAGAGATCATGCGTTGGGTTTGCTCAGCATCCGTTTGGAAAAACTCCAGGATCACAAGCATAAGCTTCACTGGAGACGAATCAAAAATCTCATCATCCGGGATCTCGGAACCATCTTCTGAAAAGAGTCTTTGTCTAAAAATGGTGACATCAATCTTACTTGCCAAGACTTGCTTCACAGCCTTTGCAGTTTTTCCTTCAAATTCATCAGGTGCAAGAACTGTCAGTTCTGCACCTGAAGCGAGGAAGCACACCTCCATCGCGCTGATCGCTCCAAGCCAAGCAGCAGGCTGTATGGAATGTGGGAACAATTGCCCCAGCACTTTACAATCCGTCAAGAAAGAGATATGTGATTATTGATTCAGATGTGTTGCTTCAATAATTTGCGATCATCACCCTACATTTTAACCACTTTTGGCCTTTATATAACCCACTGTAACCACTATTGGCCCCAAGATGTCATGTGTAGATCTCCACCCGGACTGGTGACACCTTGATTGGATTCATCCTGCAGAACGATAGGATCAGGTTCCATGATGCCGCTGGGCAATGATAATTCTGAATCAATATCCATGCTATTCTCAGTTATACCGTTATAATCCGTTATACCTCATCAAATACTTCTACATATCTACAAGAAAAATTAAGTATCCTCAGGTATAGTATCAATATATATATATATATGATATATGATAAATATGAAGCCTCATCAATTCTTTGCTTCCGATCCCCTCCTGTGGCGGCTGCAAAGGCCGCATGGAGCTCAGGCAAAGGCCGCGTTGCGAATCCATGGCCTTTGGAGTTCTCTGGACCGGTGAAGGATAGGCACCCGAGAATCACGGGATTTTTCACTGAATTTATGAGGTGGTTCATCGATTTATGATAGCGAAGTTGGGTATTGTAACATATTGTAACATCTTTTTTCACTATGTCAGTTGGGTTTACTACTCTGGAAATTACAACTATTTTTCACGACTATTTAGTAGGAAAAGAATTACTTTATTACTAGTTCAATTCAATGCCAGAAAGATTATAAAGATTCGTTGAATTTACCACCATTCTACTGGGATTTGTTCGCAAGATGCTGCATCTTTTTGGGGTTGTTATAGGTAAGAACCATATGGTATATTTGGGTTGTCCCGGCTGATTCCTTGTGTCTATCTACCAAGAATACATGCTAGTTATGACATAGCTCAGGCATATTCATAGGAAAGGGCACAAAAAAGGTGTGAAACCTGTACTTTTGTCCTGTCAAAACAAGTCTGGGAAGTCAGGACACGGAGCATAAGCAATGTCCCGGGTTTTAAAGGAGGGCCGCAAAAAGATGTTTTTCTGTTCACTTTCTAGGCTTTGGGCCCTTCAACTTCCCTCAGTTCCCTTCAAAGGTCCACCAGTTCAGGCGCGGGTTCCCATTATCAAATTCAACGAATTATCCCAGATGCTCCAAGGCTCACTAAATCGTTCTAAATCCATTGGGTTCCAAGGGAAACTTTGCTGGAAACCGTGAAATTCATTGTGATTTTTGCTGGTTGGTGGTTGAGCCTACCCCTCTGAAAACTATGAGTTCGTCAGTTGGGATCATGACATTCCCAATAATATGGAAAAATCAAAGTCATGTTCCAAACCACCAATCAGTTCATATTCCAAAAAAGTATCCCCATGATTCCGAAAAAAAGTATCCCATTCTATTCTCCCCATATATATAAACCATACAAAACCATCATTACCCTCTGGTAAACGTTTACATATGCTATGGAAAATCACCATGCTATTCATGGGAAAATCCACTATTTCTATGGCCATTTTTAAGTTCGCAAACTGTTAGTCATTACCAGAGGGTAAGTCCAGATGATCCCATCATCATCGCCATTTTTTCCGAGCCAACCGTCGACTGGGGAACCGCCGCCGATTCCCGGGATGCCAGACCCTGAGCGCCAAATCTGTAGCCACGGCAAATGTGGCCTCGGAAAGGTGTTAACAGCGGTGATCAACTGAAGTTGATATACCATTTATAGTTGTTGATATCCATCAATAGTGATTTATATATCTATTTTCTAGTGATTAATGGGGTTCATATGGATTTACCATCTGGTTATTTGTTACATAGCCATGGAAAATCCCGTAAATAAATGGAGGTATATAGCTGGGAAAATCATCTATAAGACACCAAACATTTGCCATGGTTTCTTAACTTTTAGTAATGAGCAGGTATTGGCAAATTGCTTTACTATACTTTTAATCCAACATTTACTCGGGATTGCCAAAGCAAAACCAATAGTTAGTAAAGCAAACTTTTTTTCCGTAAAGCCAATGGTGATTTAACTTTTTATTGAAAGCAATGTTAGTAAAGCAATAATTAAGCGTCCCCCAAATTTACCATGGATTGTCAAAAACAATAAAATGAATATTATTTATGTGGTTTATTCTTGCTTTACTAACGTTAACCATATATAGCAATCCAAATTTGATGGTTTAAAATGGAAAATCCCAATCTAAAATGGATGATGTGGGGGTACCACCATTTTAGGAAACCTTCATATATAGCAAGCCCCAACAAAAGATGCCGAAAGCTGGAAAACATCATCAAGTTCTGCATCCTGGAAAAACTCTTCGGCACCTGTTTCGGGGGTTACGAAAAAAACTGGTGGTACTACTATGTTGGCAATAATCCAGCTATACATGGGATGGACTCCGGATGTGTATGTCGTATATCCAAATAATTCCAAGTATTAGATTAATGTCAACCCTGGATTAATAAACCCCAAACGGCTGTTTAATTGGGGGGATACCATGTAAGTATCAGATGAAATGACTCTTGGGGGAATACCCCCTAATTAATAAACCATGGTTTAGTCTCATCCGGGGTTGACATTATCCCTGAACAGAAACCCGGCTGGAAACATAGTGATCCATGGAATTTTTAGGGACCCCCTGGCTGATGGGATGGGAGTAGTATGGGTCCATGGGGGTCACTTGACCGCCAGGGTGCCCCGTGTTGACCTGGGGCCTAGCCCATTTTTGGCCTCATCAAAAAGTGGTTGAAAGGATGATCATACACTGAGGAGTTACCGCGGTACCCCATGTTCCTTGCCAGTTACGGAAGGTTTGGAACCCAAGGAACTCAGTTCAAAAAAACACTCCGCTGCTTGAGCGACCTCAAGAATATATTTGAATGTCAATTGGGACTATCGTCTCACTGGAAAGAATCCTTAAGAACATCAACTTTAAACCAGCAATTCACAAGATAACCATCGTTGATGTTCTTTATATTCCGCAAGTAGTAGTGCAGTTCCACTAGTAAGTCCGGCGATATTACCATAGTTGTAGGGATAAAAAACACCTCATGGAGGTTATTGTCTTAGTTTACGAAGCTGCAAGAAGCTGATTTTAAAGGGTCTTCGTTTCCGTACAAAGCATCATGTATGGTGGCACTCACCAGCGAGATCGTCTATGATCTGAAAACTCTCGAAGACATTGCGAGACAGATTCCCGAAAACCATGCAGAACTTGATAATTTGCATAGATGTGGGAAAACCACTATTTGCAGATCATTTCCCCACGGCTTCCCCATGGGTTTTCGACATCTTAGTTTACAGGCCTACAGGAGGTGGCCAGTGCTTTTCTTCTCCCTTGATTTGGGTTATGTTTGGGTGCTATATGGGGTTCTCTGAAAATAGTATACCCCTAAAGCCAATGGTTAATTCTCAGTTTCCCTTAAAGGGATTGATTTATGAAATTTATATAAATGGCTAGAATTGGGGGTATACCTATGTTCCGACACACCCATACAGCTAGAATCCATCAACCACCCAACCTCCTCACCCATTTGCAGCAGCACTTGCAAGCCGCCTGGCTGATCCAGACTTGGCTGGACAATTTCCATGCGTAGCCTCTGGTTCTTTAATAGAGCTACAGGATGGGGCCCCCGTTCGAGCTCGCGTGAACAGTTGGTTTATGTTTGTGGCTGAAAAAACCATGGTTTATGGATGTTTATGGTAGATATAACGAACTAGTTAATGGGGATTATAATGGTTTATAAACCAACTTATAACTGGGAGGGCCCATCCTGTATGAATAATCACCATTTTTGCGCGGGAAAATCTTCATAAGTTCATACATTGTCCAAATTGTCCAGTTCCCAAACTGTAAATGACCAGAGGGTAGATAGCTTTACTCTCAATTCATGGGAATAGTTCATCCAGTATCCATGGATTCATTTCAGGGCAAATGAAACCAGGAAATCAGATCTTTATCCTAAAACATTGTGCTATCCAATCAATTTCCCCTGAAAAATGCTGCCATGTTATCATAGCACTGTGGATATTGATGGCCAAAAAAAGGCATTTTTGGCCATGTTTCAAGTTTGACACTTCATTTTGGGTGGGTTTTTCCGGATTGCTGATGAATTCCTCCAATCTTTGGTGTCTAAAAAAATGCTGGATCTCCAAGTGACCATGGTCGTTTCAATCATAAAATGCTCCAATGACTTGGATGATGGCACCATGACTCAAGGCTCATCCTGGGGGCGCTGGGGTACACGTTTTAGATGTGGAACATGGCCCATTTAGTTCAATGATTACCTATCTGGTTGGTGGTTGAGCCCCTACCCCTCTGAAAAATCATGGAGTTCGTCAATTATGGGAGTCATAGGGAGTCTATAAATTCCCAATATGATGGGAAAGTCATAAAATTCCATGGTTCCAGTCACCACCAACCAGCTATAATAAAAGGTGGCATAAAAAGATGGTGAAGCTGCACATCGTAAACGTTTACACAGCAGACTCGATTTTCCAGTTCCAGTTTTGACCCGCAAGATTTTGGCAACCTCGAAGATTTTGGGGGGGGGTTGGCTTTGACCCGCACGTGGGGAACCATTTCAAAGGTCAGCAACCGAAAATCAACCAAAACTGCCCCGAAAGTCAGGTGATGCTGGGAATTTCTGGTACGAACACTAGAGTCACTAGACCTTTCGCACCCCATTTATCATGAAGTCACCCCACTGGCACAACGCGATTTGGGGAAATAACAATCCATTAACCAGCTATTTTAGGGTATCTAGGGTACCAGGGTTTTGGGATAGCAGGTTAGTATTTCCATATACTTTCTGAGATACAACACCCGAACCAGCGAAAGCCAATCGGCTCATTGCTATAGATGTTCTTTGGGACGTGTTTTGGGCCGTGAAACGTTTGTCCATACGTTCGGCTTTTATATCAAAAAGCTGGGTTTTCCTGTGGTTTCCCCATGGTTTTACCATGTTTTACCATCGTCTCAAGGAGGTTCCTGGGCAACATCTCACCTGCCTTGATCGCAGATCAAATGAAGTGCTGCCGCCAGAGCGGAAACCACGCGCTCGGCGCACTTGTTTCCTTACGGAGGTGAAGAATGTCAACTCAGGATTAGTAAATTCTTGGTTGATTGATAATGAATGTCTTTTTTTCTGTTTGAATAGCATTGCTTTTGGGGCACAACCCCTTTTACTAGTCACCGAGAGCTTGGTTGACATGAAGGCACTCAGAAACGGCCGAAATTCTGCCTTGCGAAATCTCCCCGCTGGAAAGCAGCCATGCTAGAAGGGTACAAGCAACTTGATGCAACTTGTCATAGACCCGCAACCTGTATCCATGACGGCAGCTAGTCTCTGCACTAAACCCATCTGTGGTACGAGAAAAAAAAAGGAATTAATAGTCGTCCCCTGCACACTGTATACCCGTTGAATCGACAAGGTGCATCTTTTTGAGATGCACAAAATGCATGGCTGCAGCACAAAAGGAGGTGTCCACAGTACCAAGTATCTTCCAAGTTTCTGCTCACATTATGACTTTGATCAGATATAATGAAGTACTAAGAATCCCATTGCTAACAATCCGTTTTTCCCCATGGTTAGAACCACTTTCATTTGCACCGCTGACCTTCCTCGAAAGCGCTACCAAGTGGCCCACGGTGGTTTGAAGACAAAGCATCGGTCGCCTGCAGCAAATGTCCAGACCCGATTGCAGAGGGCTGAACTGGTGAAGATTAATTGAACCCGTAAGGAAGAGCGAGAAAAACCTGGAGAATCATCAAAACTGCGGAAGATATAAGCAGTGAGCCAAGTGATAAGCCGTATCAGAAATCAGGGACTTACTAGGCTTCTTCACAAGTTTCTACATGGTATGATTCGCTAACCACCCAGATTTCAGATTCCGGAAACCCTGCGGTGGTCCGATCAGTCCCCAACACTGCAGATTTGGGTATGTTGAGAAATGGCTTTAAGAAGTCAAGTTGGATGAGACTGAGATTCTATGAAATTGGATCACTTATATCAAAATTGGCACATACATCACCCATCACCAACCAAGACTTCAATTCTACAGACTGTTAGATCATTTTGACACCCCCTGAAGTTGACGAATCCAAAAAATCGGCCGCCGCCTCTGACAACGATCCATGCCCATCATTTCCTTGGCTGTCGCCACTGCCTCCCGCTGCAAAGAAATATCCTGGCGAGCTGACTGGAGCCTACTCAGGCTGCGATTTGTAACTGCAAAATGAATGGTGATTCACGGCGAATACGGAAGAATCATCAAGACTTGGGGGAGTAACAATCGAAAATGGGTCATGAGGTTTGATGGTGAAATAGTAAAACGAGCACCCTGATTGATGAGCAATTATTTTCAATGGAGAATTGATGATCATTTATAATGGTATTGACCAGCAATCATATGAGACATTGTGGAGAAATTACAGTTGGTTGATGAGTAGTTCCGGGGGTTATGCTATCCGCTACGTTCGAAATCATTATGATCCTGCACATCGGAATGGGAAGCAGTTCCACAACAAAAGCGTCCCCAAGAATCAGGCTATGAAGAATTCCATAAGCCACAACTATTCAGAAAAAGGATGAAAAAGACTTCTGATTGTGTGTACCCCACTCAGAAACTGAAAAAAATGCTATCTCTCCATACATGGCCTTGTCTGGAACTGTTTGGACCCCAAGTCAAAAGGGATTACAGTACAATCATCGCTCTATTCACCCGTCAATTGTCCCCATCGAAATGGCAATCGAAATGGGGGTACACCCCGGTATATGGGACAAAGCCATAGGGTCTATGGATCCGGGTTTGACACATGGGGCTTTGTCTATATGAAGATAGGTTCTGGATGAATTACAGGCAATTTGTCGGGAAGTATGGGGATGTAATGGAGATATCACTAACCAATGGGCAATGCTTCCAAGAAAATAATCTATTACATCCCATTCTCTCCCAGTATCGCTGGTACATATCATATCCCATAACCTGTGTGCTGAAATCCAATGTGCTTGGGCATTCCCAGCAACATATGGGTTTTTTTTCACACAAAGTTCGGGTGCCACAAATTTCACAATTGCTTTCCCCTTGTCAAAAATGACTAGTTCAACTTGGGCTGTAATTTGAGGGCCTCCATGACTTAGGTCCTGCATGTCCCATTCATATCTCATACAGTTCATCATGTCTCGTCCATATTATACTTTTTGTACCCCGATATTTCCCACATCATAATTCTGACCCACTATTGACCTCAATGTCAAGCTAATATTTAGTTATATCACCAATATTAACCATTATTTTACCCACTATTGGTTACTTTTACCCAATATTCACCAATATTCACCAATATTAGGTAACCAATAGTGAGTAAAATAGTGGTGATATTCCAATAGTAACAATACTACCTTAAAAATTGTTACTTTACCCACTATTGGTTCCTATTCACCAGTATTAACTGGTTATTTGACAATTCGCCATGGTATAGTTGGCCCATTGAAATAGATGGTTTACCGAACTTAATAGCGTTTAATAGCATGGTGATTTCCCATGGCGAACTGCTAGTCATAACCAGATGGTAACTGGAAGATGTTAGATCATTTAATGGATCAAAAACATTGGATTTGACCATGGTTACTTTACCCACTATTGCTTACTATTCACCAGTATTAACTCTTCAAAGGTGCGGCACATCCCATATTTTTCGGTCCTGCAGCGCGGCCAAAGGGATGCGTCGGAGCACGTCCAGGAGCAAGGCAAATTGGTCGCTGGTCAATAGGCTCCACAGGGCATCAACGCGTGTCCTGGGCCAAGGGGTTACCCGGTCTGGTAAACATACAAGAAACGATGGAAGAAACACCATGTTTCATGGGAAAATCCACTATTTCTATGGCCATTCTATGGAAAATCACTATTATTAATGGGTAAATCCACTATTTTGGATGGGGCCCCCAAGATAGCTAAGTTGGTTTATAAGTGGCTAAATTCAATGGTTTATGGTAGATATAACGAACTAGTTAATGGGGATCTTAATGGTTGATAAGCCAACTTATAACTGGGGGGCCCCATCCTGTATGGAAAAACACCATGTTTTATGGGTAAATCAACTATTTCTATCTATTTCTATGACGACCATGTTCAATAGCTATATTGGTTGGCAAATGGGTTATACCCCAATTGGATTAATCTGGGTATTTTTTTCATATTTCACTCACCTGAATGAATTGCGGCCATAAAAGGGGATCATTTCCCCTATAAAAACCATGGATTTCCAGGCTTCGGGAGAACAGGCTTCGGTCGTGATGAAATTTACCCAGATGAATGGAATCTCCGCACATAGAGGATGAATTTGGCTCATTTGGCGGATGATTCACCACGGATCCGATAGGCCGCGCACATCAGATGACATCCCTTGGGTATGGCACCATGGCACCATGGCACCGTACTCGGATGGTCGAAGGAAGTTTAGAAGTGAAACTTCCGACAATATGGACAGTTGAAAAGCAGAGGTGAAAAGAGTCAGAAGAGAAAAGATCAGAAGAAAGAAGATGCAGATGCGCGAAAAGGTAGGAAAGTCGCGAAACACTGTGTTTTTCCAATGATTTGGGGCTCCGGAGGGTCGAAAAGTAGGCTCGCTAAAGCGGCGGGTGCAGAGCCAGCTGGCCAGATGAGAGATGAAAAATTGCACGCCGTTGTGGCGCGAAGCACATTTCCAAGTCAAAATGTACAAACACCTCAGCGTCGGACCACTTTTGGAAGTTGAGATGTCGAAAAAGTGCACGCCGTTGTGGCGCGAAGCACATTTCCAAGTCAAAATGTACAAAACACCCAGCTTCGGACCACTTTTGGAAGTTGAGATGTCGAAAAAGTGCACGCCGTTGTGGCGCGAAGCACATTTCCAAGTCAAAATGTTAAAAACTGACGGTCTCGGACCACTTTTGGAGGTTCAGATGTCGAAAAAGTGTCGAAAAAGTGCACGCCGTTGTGGCGCGAAGCACATTTCGAAGTCAAAAGTGTAAAAAACTGAGGGTTTTGAGCCTTTTTTCGACGTGAAGATGTCGAAAAAGTAGACACTGATTAACTTAACTAACTTGACTAACTTAACTAACTTCACTAACTTAACTACCCTAACTTCGACGACAACAGCAACAGCAACAGCAACAACAACAACAACAACACTACAACAACAACTACAACAACTACACAACAACTACAACTACAACTAGAACTACAACTACAACAACTACAACAACAATAACAGCAACAACAACAACAGCAACAACAACAACAACTACAACAACTACACAACAACTACAACTACAACTACAACTAGAACTACAACTACAACAACTACAACAACAACAGCAACAACAACAACAGCAACAACAGCAACAACAACAACAACTACAACTACAACTACACAACAACTACAACTAGAACTACAAACAAACAACTACAGCTACAACAACAACTACTACTACTACTACAACTACTACAACAACTACAACAACAGCAACAACTAAAACAACAACAACAACAACTACTACTACTACTACTACAACACTACACAACAACTACAACCACACAACAACTACAACTACAACAACTACAACTACAACTACAAAACAACTACAGCTACAACTATATGACTGCAACTACACTACACTAATTACATTACACCACAACTACAACTCCACTACGCTACAACTACAACTACAGTTGCAGTACATCACACTACATCCAGCAGTTGTGGGTGAGGTGACCACTGCAAAAATTGCAACCATTCCAGCAAACACAACTCCAACCACCTTTCGGTCAATCAGTGGCTTCGCTCTGCCATCCCTGATTCACAACAACCAACTTCTCCTATAGGTTTCCTATTTTTGAAACTTCCGCCACCGCCTTGTGCGGTACTACTGGTACCCCATAGATCCCATAGCGATTTACGGATCTTTATTCACGTTGATTCTCCTTTTAAGATGGTGGCTATGTATATACGTGTTGACCCTAAAACCCCTATCATTGGATTGGTTTTCTTGGGAAAAAGGGAAAAATCAAACCGGAACCCCCTATATGTGATGGAGAAAACCCATGGTTTCTGGAGTTTCCGGTGAAGATTTTCCAAAGAAAACTAATTAAGTGATGATACCGGCAGCTTTGCGAAGCCAAAAAATCATCAACTGGGGAGGTTACTACTCCAAGAACTGACATCAGCCTTCATATCACCCCGCATTTTAACCACTATTGGCCTTTATATAACCCACTGTAACATTAACCAAGATGTCATGTGTAGATCTCCACCCGTCAGTGACACCTTAATTGGATTCATCCTGCGGTAGATTGCCCACAGCAGATGGAAGCAAGATCACTGCGACAAACTCAATACCTGTTTTTCCCTAAGCAACACCAAGAGTTTTTTCTGAACCAAATTCAAGCTAGGAATTGATGCAGGCGACTTGCAGGAAGCCTATGATAGTTGAGTATTAAAGAAACCATCTCCACAGACATTTGAGGAACGGGTGATCTTTGGGAATTCCTTGTTGAAAAAGTCTGTCTTTAAAAGCCACCAAGGTGAGCCAGCTGCTGGAACTTTTTTTGCTCTCACAGGATGTCTCTCAACCAAGCCTTGGGATTTTGCTTGGGGGCGATTCGCTCCGGATCTTTGCCAAGAAACGGACCACCTCAGAATGACCTTTTTGAGATGCCAGATCCAGAGCAGTTCTTCCACTTCGTGCAGTAGTGTGACTATCTGCGCCTCTTTCAATCAGAAAGCGAACAATTTCAAGATGGCCCATTTCTGCCGCAGCATGTAAGGCTGTTTCCCCAGTATCCCAAGTTGCCTCATTTTGGCGGACGCCAACCTCTACCAAGTGACGAACAACCTCAAGATGGCCTTCATGTGCTGCGATGCACAATGGTGTTGCGCCAAAGTTCGTGGCTTGATCTTTGTGGGCACCAACTTCAACCAAATGACGAACGACATCAAGATGGCCTTCCTGTGCTGCCATGAACAATGGCGTTGCGCCATTGTTCGTGCTTTGATCTTTGTGGGCACCAACTTCCACCAAATGACGAACGACATCAAGATGGCCTTCCTGTGCTGCAATAAACAATGGCGTTGCGCCATCGTTCTTCGCTTGATCTTTGTGGGCACCAAATTCCACCAGATAACGAACGACATCAAGATGGCCTTCCTGTGCTGCAATAAACAATGGCGTTGCCCCATCGTTCATGGCTTGATCTTTGTGGGCACCAACTTCCACCAGATGACGAACGACATCAAGATGGCCTTCCTCTGCGGCGATGAACAATGGCGTTGCCCCATCGTTCGTGGCTTGATCTTTGTGGGAACCGACTTCCACCAGATGACGAACGACATCAAGATGGCCTTCCTGTGCTGCGATGAATAATGGTGTTCTGCCATTGTTTTTGGCTTGATCTTTGTGGGCACCAACTTCAACCAAATGATGAACGACATCAAGATGGCCTTGATGTGCTGCGATGAACAATGGTGTTGCGCCATCGTTCGTGGCTTGATCTTTGTGGGCACCAACTTCCGTCAAATGACGAACGACATCAAGATGGCCTTCCTGTGCTGCGATGCACAATGGCGTTGCCCCAAGGTTCGTGGCTTGATCTATCTGGGCACCAACTTCCACCAGATGACGAACGACATCAAGATGGCCTTCCTCTGCGGCGATGAACAATGGTGTTTCACCATTAACGTTTGCTTGATCTTTGTCGGCACCTGCTTCAATCAACAACTGCAGGCTTTCAACATGTCCTCTTTCTGCGGCACAGTGCAACGGTGTTGTGCCATGTTCGTCTCTCACATTTGGGTTCAAAGGTTTTTTCAGCAAACTCTCAAGTTCAATCAATTCATTGTTGGTGGATGCAGAGATCATGCGTTGGGTTTGCTCAGCATCCGTTTGGAAAAACTCCAGGATCACAAGCATAAGCTTCACTGGAGCCGAATCAGAAATCTCATCATCCGGAATCTCGGAACCATCTTCTGAAAAGAGTCTTTGTCTGAAAATGCTGACATCAATCTTACTTGCCAAGACTTGCTTCACAGCCTTTGCAGTTTTTCCTTCAAATTCATCAGGGGCAAGGACTGCCAGCGTTGCACCTGACGCGAGGAAGCACACCTCCATCGCGAAGCGGATCGCTCAAAAATCCAAGCAACTGCCGTTAATCTGTAGTTAGTTGCGTTTCGAGCTGAAAGATAATGTGAGATGGAATTTTCCATGTGGGAAAAATGGTCCCAAAAAAACATGTGAAAGAGGTTTTCCTTCGAGAATTTGCCATGATTAACCCATTCCTTGCAATCCCCTACATATAAACCACTCTAAACTGCTTCAACGTTTCACCACGAATTAACCATAAGGTAACCTCCATATTCACCCTACCACCATCCCCTTGACGGTAGAGTTCGCCAGGTCTCTGCAACGCGGCTTGCGCGTAGAACGCCACGGCCTGCGCCATGCCTCGCTCCGCGTCCACCCAGCCGTCGGCCATGCGGCGCATGGCATCGCTGCTGGGCAGACGAGCCACGGCCGCAGCGAGGTGTTTGTGAACCTCCTCGCGGTGATACCCGGCCTGGTAAACTGGGATTATAGTGGTATAATATGGTATAATATGGGATACAATGGGGATTATAGTGGTATTTCTGTGGTAGAATGGAATAACCCTCTGGTAAACGTTTAGAGTTTGCTATGTGGAAAATCCATGAAGATCCCTCAATTTTGATAGGTAAATCAACGAACTAAATGGCCATGTTCAATAGCGATATTAGATTACCAGGGTATGAGGTAAAACGTGGGGCCTAAGATGTGGCGTTCCTAAGATCTGGGGTTAGCAATAGATATCAGCAATGATATCAGAGGCGTACTAAGCATGGTGACTTTAACCCCATATTTGTTGGGCTATGGGGCCCCTATCCTATAACTATGGTCTTCACTACATCCACGAAGAATTCACTGGAACTGCACTTCCAAGTGCAAGGTGAGGCCCCAGGTCGTTCGCGAAGTTGGGTTATAGCCGGTTATAGCTATATACTTTCTACGATTTTAATGGTAGCTGTGATTGATTCCGGTTCAACATCGGGCTGAAACAGTCTCTTCCTATAGTAATTAAGAAGAATGACCTGACAATCGAACACATTGTTTAGTTCTGGATTACACATGACTTGGGAGAACGTTGGGGGCATTTTGTACCATCTTTTATCCCAAACCTTATTTCAGGATGTTGAGGATGTTTCAATTTGTTATTGTTACATAATCCCACTGGTAACTGCAGTCACAGCCATTGACAGTTGCAAATGGGATCATAACTCCTGCAACTAAGGTTTTTTCTCACTTAAATGGGGAGTGCAAGCCACTTAAAACGGCTAAGGATCACAACTGTGCATGGAATAACATGATGTCTGATGTCTGCCTGAAATAGCCGACTTGGACAGCGAAACATTCCGTCCTCTTGACAGCCCAACTGCTCTGTAGGCTTCAAATTGGGCGCATTCGTCAAGATCGATGTGACCAAAGAAGGTGCTTCGGTATCTTCCAAAGAATCCTGGTCGAAAGCTGCACGGAAAGCACATTGGTGTGTTTGTGTGTGTGAAAATAGGCTATAAATATGGCTATTCTATACACCCAAAATCTATCAAAAGCTCATGATTGCTCATGATTGCTCATGATTCAACCCCAATTTTGCTTGGTGAAATTGACACAATAAAAGCTGGCGAAAACGTAAAAAAAAAAAAACTCAATCAACCAGTACCGCAGATCCAGTATGATCCAGTCGCTTTACCAAGAAACCAACCTGGCACCAACGGTGCGAAATTTGCGGCATATGTTTGGCCGATGGTTGGTGGAAACTCAGTGGCAGCTACTGGAAATTCCAGATGTTCTTTTTCCTTGGGAAAACGATCCGGTTTTAGTGGGACGTATCTTGAATCAGTTGCAGGGTCAATGTTCATGTTTTTTTTTGGGGAGAGGCCAACTGATGTCCAAAATGTTTCACCAGTCTGATAGATCTGATCGCCTGAATGATGCTGGTTGATGATTCCTGGTGCAAAGAGGGAAACATAGGAAAACATAGGGAAACCATCAAACTTGGGAAAACCTGGAACAGGAACAGGTCTTGCCGGCAGAAAAAGTCCAAATTCAACTGTTTTTTTCAAGATGAGATCCCGAAAATCAATTGGGATCGCCCCGCTGTTGGGGGTTGAAAAATATGAAGGACATCATACAAGGTGAGGTCACCCAGTTATGTTTGTTGCTTTAGATTCAAACCATTGACTAGTTCCTTATATATATATATATACTCCATCAACCCAAAGGTTAAGTTCTTGAGGCCCCCCAATTATAGGTTTAGATTCAATCCATTGACTAGTTCGTTACTAGTTCGTTATATCATGTGAAAAATCTCTCAGTCTCTCCCCATCGATTTCCGATGTCCCGCGGCTGAACAGCCGAGTCTCCAAATGAAGCACTTGCCACTGGCCCAGCAATGCGGATTCGTAGCTCTTCCCCACCTTGGCACCAAAAATCGGTGGACGAATCCCGAAGAGGATCCATGGCCGCTGTCTGAGAAGGTACTTAACCCTCCAATTTATAGTAAATTATAGCCCAGTCCCACTTCCTTTCAGAAGGTACTGTACCTGGATCCATAGGGAATGATTCTCATCGAAATATTCTCATTGATCATATTCGTCAATTAACTAGAGATTGACTTCAGAGATGATCTCATAGTTGATGAAACATCTCTGGATATTGAGATTTTTTAATAGAAAATCTGGATATATATATCTTGGATCATCAAATCACCAACACCATGGGAATATCTTCAAAACGAAAGACCATCATTCCGACTCAACAGACTCAAAATTCATCAGGGACAAATTCACCATGTTTAACCCACATAAAAATAAACTTAAGCATAGAAACAGCAGCTTAAACTCATGTACTTTTCTATAGTGTTGGGTGCTAAAAAAAAAAAAAAACTAGTCTTGATGTGTTGGGTGTCATCTTGTCAATGGTGGCATCAGCATGACCTTGTTTACTGATGTTTTAAACAATGTTCTCAGTGAAAAATCCTGATTTCTTAAAAAAATATATATATATGGGCGTGTTATAACTCCTTGAATACCAAAAAAAAACAACATTAAACCCTAAATCCTAATTGTTGCCCGACGATTCGTCACCATTTTGGCTGCATCAATGCCCAAGGGACGTGAAACCTCCAGGGTGGAAGTAGAATCGTCAGTACCAAGCCTTGCACGTCGTTCTCATCCGCCAGCCGTCGAAGTTGATGAATGGCCTGCAGGTGATCTGCGAAGTTGTGGTGCGAATATATGACATATATTTAAGTCATCTATATATATATATATATACACTAGATACAGTATATATGGTTTCACTGCTCAAATTGGGGTGTGTGTATATATGTAAAATGTTTACGATTAGATTTGAGATAGTGAGACAAGGAAATGGATACAACAATGTATTAATCTGTGTATATATATATAATCATATATATATATAATCATATATATATAATTATATATAACTATATAATTATATATACAGTATATAGAGTCCAATAATTAGGCATATATTAGGCATACTAAAATGACCTAATTTTGATACAGAAAATCATGATAATCGTGGGACTGTAAAGGGGATTATGGAGGACTCAATGGATTTACGAAATTCTGGGATATTCTGGGACTATTTGGGCCAACTTGGCTTGGGTTTATCGGGGAAAAATAACTACAGTTAATAGGGTGAATCTAAACGAACTTTTTTGGGGGGCCTCACTGCCTCACCTTGCAAATACTGCACAAAATGAAGTTATACTAAATGAAGTTGGTTTAGAACATCGCACCAAAAATTAGGATACTTATAACTTTAGTGAAATTTTATACTAAATGTGCCCACTTTTCTGGGCCCTAACAGGTACCCCGAATGCTGACCCAGATCTGGAGCCATACTCAAACTATGACTGTTTTGGGGGATCACCCTCACATGGGTAAAACCACCAACCAGAAACTGCTATATAATGGTTATAGAACTATATATATATATACATACATACATATATATATATATATATACACAGTATATTATATATATATACGTATATATATATATATTGTACATATCATATATAACCATCATATCGTATACCTATATTTGGGAATATCGGACCAGGTATACCTGAAAGCACTTGCCTATACTTGGAAACTGATATCCACATTGTATATCTATGTATATCTCCTCATTTCCAATTGGCATCATTGCCAATCTCAGATAGCCTCCTATCCAACTCGCCGCAGTTACTACCCGGCCTGGTAAACGTTAACAAAAAACTATGGAAAATCATTTTTTTATGGGTAAATCAACTTTTTCGACTGGGCCATGTTCAAGTTCGCAAACTGTGAATGTTTCTAAGAGGGTATGTACCATCTGGTTATTTAACAGTTCGCCATGGAAAATCCCGTAACTAAATGGATGTTTATAGCTGGGAAACCATCTATTTCTATGGGCCATTTCCCATGGCTATATTAAATGGCCAACAGTCGCTTTGGATTTTCCCCGTCTCCCCAGCAGGCTTCGGGATTTCAGCGAAGGCAGCCTGGCTGGTGAAGGATGTGTCGGAGCACGTGCCATGAAGTGCCCAACGGCACAAAATCATCAAAGGCTTCTCCTGGCGATGGGACGGGAGCTAGAAAAATGGTGATTTACAGCACGAGAAATGCTGTGAAAAATGGGGATTTCGTTCTGCCACTCAGGTGATAACATCATTAACATCTCACTTCGACGGGATCGCCTCTGGTTTTTTGAAACCGTGGGATTCCCCAGTTTGGCCCAAAAAAAATGGGATCAGCCAGAAAATGTGAACTCCGTGAAGTCACCAAGATTCAGTGGATGATCCCTGATGATCCTGCAGGGCTTCAGTTTTGATCCATGGGTCCATGGGGATGAAAAAACTGTTGAATGCTATGGCAGCTATGGAAACTGCCATGGAGATTCGATGGGGATCCATGGGGATGGATGGTGCCCCTTGCCCCATTGCTTGGGCCCCACGAAGAATGTCATGTCCCATAACTTGGGGGCACTCCATGACTGAACCCAAACATCTTGAAGCGGGAACGAACCAACTGAACCAACCAATATACGGGATGTATAAGTCATGCACTTAGCCAAGAATGGTGTCTTTCCTAGCCCAAAGTTGGATCTGGATCGGAATGATGCTAGGCATGGGTCAAAGATCACAATCCAAAAAAAAACACAGATTTTGGTCGTCTTCAATATTACCCGTCCCATTTGGAGTCCCGATCTTGACCCAAAGTTCATATTCAATGGCATGAATTGATGTTTTGTGGTTGTAAACGCATGTCGGCAAACACAATATCCGCCTGAATTACAATCGTTGACGAACCTGAACTAACACATCTTTTTAGGGTAAGTTCCCTTAACCAATACCTAAAATGAGCGACATCGTGCTGAGGCCGCTGAATCGTGGCTGAGGTCGATTTTCGGGGGTCAAATCATTTAGCCGTTGAATGCTGGTTTCAAAAATCACCATAGAAGCATCAACTTTAGCTATGGCAATTATGGGTTTATAGGGGAAATAGCTATAGTTAGATGGTTCAAACATGTTCAAATCCACATTTAGCTCTTAACAATGATGATGATAATGGGAATGTATGGGAATTAAGGTATGTAATTAATTGGCTATCTGGTTGCCTTTAGTGGTTGATAATGGTTAATAGTGGTGATTTGTGATTACTGGTGGTTAATATGTGGTTAATAGATCTTGATAGCGGTTCATTAGTGACTTAGCGGTGATTTGATGATCTACTGATTGGTGGTTGAGCCAACCCCTCTGAAAAATGATGGAGTGAAAGTGAGTTGGGATGATGAAATTCCCAACTGAATGGAAAGTCATAAAATTCCGTGGTTCCAGTCACCACCAACCAGTGATTGGTACTTCCTGATACCCTATTTTTTCCGATCTTTCGAAGGATCCGCAAAATCATGCGAAAATCCCTCAGATGAAACCCCGCTTTATTTTCAGACCATCACAGCTTGGGAGGGGAATTTTTGACGAAAAACGCCGCATGCAGCATATCAGCATCCTGGTTCTTTCTGGATTGCAACAGTGCAATGGCTTCTTCCCGCGTCCGTGGCATAGCTTGGATATCCACATCTTGTCTTTGCAAGTCGCTGGGGCACAAGCCTGAAGCCTAAGATGTTCGCAGGCTGGTAACGCGACTGGCCAGTACATGGGGTACACAAAACCCAGGCCTCCAATATTAGAATTCTATCTATCTATCTATCTATCGATCGATCGATCGATCTATCGATCTATCGATCTATCTATCTATCGATCGATCGATCTATCGATCTATCGATCTATCGATCTATCGATCTATCGATCTATCGATCTATCAATCTATCTATCTATCTATCTATCTATCTATCTATATATATATATTAAATTAAATTAAATTATATTATATTATATTTTGTTATATTTTATTTTATTATATTATATTATATAGTATTATATTATATTATATTATATTATATTATATTATATTATATTATATATATATATGGTATTCTAATATTGGAAATATAATGACGTGGATGATTTGGGGTTACCCCTATTTGAAACATTCAAATGGTTCCCTCCGGAAATCAAAAGCATCCGACAGTGGCATCGATGTAGACGGCTCCTAAAATTGAAGCGAAACACTCCTTCTCACAGCCACAAAATAGGACAACACTGACCCCACCATGGTGTGGGTGCAGCCTCCGCTCATGTATCAGACAGTCGTATTGGAAGTCTACTTGCCTTTAGTCACTTTTGGTTCATGAATGTTACCATCTGGTCATTTAACGTAACCATGGAAAATCACCATTTTTAGTAGGCAAACCATCTATTTCTATGGGCCATCTATACCATGGCTATGTTAAACAACCAGAGGGTTTTCCATGCTTTAGTCACTTTTGTGTCCATGTGCTGTTTGACAAACATCCATCCCTCTGGGAACAGCTATTTCATTGTTTTTTTTTTGCAAAATCGTGCAGACTGCAGAAGTCTGTGCACAGAACCTTAGCCTTTGAAATTGCGAAAAAAAAATGAACAACAGTAGAGAGGTAATCGGCTGAGGAGAATTGAATTAAGAATGTGTGAAACATCTTTGAAATTCTCAACGCCTTTCACATAGCCAGCACCCGCCTTCGCGTAGTCATTCTGTATGAAGTTGAGGGGAACAGAAAAGAAAAAATATATATATATATTTAGCGCAGCAGAACCAGGAACCACTGTTTCAGCAAATAAAAGGTCAAAAAAGTGAAGGTGGACGAATCTCATTGGCTTACCCTCTGGTAAACATGCAAAAAACTATGGAAAATCACCATTTCTAATGGGAAAACTCACTATTTCGACTGGGCCATTTTCAATAGCTATGTTAGTTTACCAGGCCGGGTAGTTTGTTCGAAAAAACGTTGTTTTCGGAAACCGCTCCAATCGTCCCAACAACATCCACCTCACTAAACCAAGTTGGTCAAGACTTATCCCCATAACTAATCAACTAATAGAAACTGAATAGAAACCATCAACAAAACTTTTTTATGTCACCTGGGGTTATTGCTACAACTTTTTTATGTCACCTGGATCAAGAAACCATCAACACATCTCGCGTCAGCACCAGAAAGCGCGTGGACGGATCCTGTCGAACAGCTGCCAATACAGAGCCAAGGCCCGTGTGCGGCCGATCGGCATAACCTTGGAGTCAAGAGGCTCTGCAAACCAAAAAATGACCCTCTGGTAATGACTAACATAGCCATGGAAAATGACCCATTTATAGATGGTTTGCCTATTAAAAATGGTGATTTTCCATGGCTATGTTAAATAACTTTAACATAGCTATAGAAAATCACCATTTTTAATACGAAAACCATCTATTTCTATGGGCTGTTTTCCAGTTCGCTTTTTGTATGTTTACCAGAGGGTATCCAAGCAAGAGACCCCAAACAGTGTGTAGTTAGGATTCCAAAGGAGCGTAAGAACACCGGGCCTTAGCACCGTCATAAACCCCTCAGTGTGGCCACATTTTTTGGGGAAATTTATGGATTCCGCCACTAAAATGTTGATTCCAAGCACCGACCATTTGGATTTAACCATTGATAGTCGGGCTGTAGCACAGAAAATTGGGATGTCCCTAGAAAAAATTGGAGTGCGTGCCTCAATATTTGGATTGAACCCCAGTTTTTCCTTGGCGATTGGTCAAAACCCATATTATTCCCATATATTCCGGCAAAATAAACATCCATTACCCTGCTATGACTTACGGTGCCAGGGTTTTGACTCATAACCAAGTGACTCCTTACTTTCAACCATATCAAAGCATCTTAAACCATCTCAAAACATATTTAAACCACATATTTCTATTATAATCCTCATATTTTACCATAGTTTTACCACACTTCAATCCCATTTTTCTCTCAAAATTCCAAGATCCTCCCATTTTCCCCACATTTTGGCCACCTTTTCCCAGCCGAAATCGGCTCCAAGGCGCCCTGCAGCAGCGACGGCGGCAGCGCCTTGGCGCGGCTCAGCAGCGCCTCGGAGGGCGCCAGGCGCAGCAAACGCTGCGCCGCCACCAGGGCCAGATGCGCCAAGAGCTCGTGGAGACGTTGGTCCAGGAGCTTTCCTGGGAGGGAAATGCTAGTTATAACCACTTTATAACCAGGGTCATGATAGCCACTGCAATATATCTCCACTGTAATATAGCCAAATTATATCTATATATATATAAAACAATAATAATAATAATTATTATTATTACTGGTTGGCGGTGCAATAACCATCTTGAAAAATGATGGAGATCATCAATGGGAAGGATGACATCCCATATATCATGGAAAATATGTATATGTATATATATATATATTATATATGAAAATGTTAGTTAATATTAACTATGTCTGGAATATATGTCTATATGGGAAATATAAGACCTAGCTATATACTTGGTGGCTCATCCCAGTTTGTAAGTGGGTTGTGTCCCTAGTTATAAGTGGATTAACCATACTTATCCCACTTTATAACCAGGGTCATGATAGCCACTGCAATATATCTCCACTGTAATATAGCCAAATTATATCTATATATATAATTATTATTATTACTGGTTGGTGATGCAATAACCATCTTGAAAAATGATGGAGATCATCAATGGGAAGGATGACATCCCATATATCATGGAAAATATGTATATGTATATATATATATGAAAATGTTAGTTAATATTAACTATGTCTGGAATATATGTCTATATGGGAAATATAAGACCTAGCTATATACTTGGTGGCTCATCCCAGTTTGTAAGTGGGTTGTAACCCTAGTTATAAGTGGATTAACCCTACTTATCCCACTTTATAACCAGGGTTATGATAGCCACTGCAATATATCTCCACTGTAATATAGCCAAATTACATATATATATACTATTATTATATTATTATTATTACTGGTTGGTGGTGCAATAACCATCTTGAAAAATGATGGAGTCATCAATGGGAAGGATGACATCCCATATATCATGGAAAATATGTATATGTATATATATATGAAAATGTTAGTTAATATTAACTATGTCTGGAATATATGTCTATATGGGAAATATAGAAAATATTTAACAGATAATATATATATATATATTAAAGATCATCATAGATATAGTCATAGATGTTGTAGATATCATAGATATCATAGATATCACAAATATTATAGATATCACAGATATTATAGATATTATAGATATTATAGATATTATAGATATTATAGATATTATAGATATTATAGATATTATAGATATTATAGATAGTCCAACTATATTTTAACTAACTATGAACTGGTTGGTGGTTTTAACAATCTTGCAAAATATGAGTTCATCAATGGGAAGGATGACATCCCATGTATCATGGAAAATAAAAAATGTTCCAAACCACCAACCAGTATATATATATATATACGTATATATATATTAAATATTGTGATGATATCAACTATAGTAAATATTATCATATATTTCCATATACTAGTGATTATGATTGTGATAAAGTTGGAGTATAATGGATATTACTTGCAGTATCACTACAATCATCCCAGTATAATGTGGGTAAAGCAATGTCATAAATCACCCATGACTGGGAATGGTAAACATACCATCTTTAAAAATGGTGATTTGGGGGTTGGTTTATTATTGCTTCTCAAACATTATATATATATATTTATAGAGAGATAGAGCGTGATGATATCAACTATAGTAACTATATAATAGCAATCATAGTGCAACAAAATCATATTGACTATTATATATATATGGTGATTATATACATCAAAAGATAACAACGATGTATCAGTGATATTCATGGGGGAATCATAATTTTATACAAAAATAGTAACTATTGTAACTATATAGGATTTGTTACAGTGAAACACTATTAGATAAAGTTAAGTATAGATACATTAAACATATTAAATACTATTAACTATAGTCGCAGAATAGTTTTATCAAATGAATATCACATTTATAGTTAACTATATCTATTGTGTATCTATCATAGTAATGCTTATGGTGATAGTAGTAACAGTGAAACCATCCACCAAATAGTTCCTATTGTAGAAGATGTGGTAATACAGTAAACTTTCCTGGGACTGGGAAATGTAGGTAGACAGGATATTAGTAATATAATAGGTATATGGGTTAATACCAAAAGTTACATACTAGTTATAATGTAAATAGTAACTATAGCTACATGATAACTATTATGGGGAATAATATCAACTATAGTTACAAAATAGTTATAAATGATAATACAGTAATAATATAGCGATAATAGTGATGTGTTGTAAGGGATAGCTATTAGTTTAAAAAATGATTGAATAATGGTATATTTACTGTAGTTCTTGGAGGGGCGCCTTTCAAGGGCCTACAGTTACAGTGATAAGCACTTTGATAGCAACTTTTCTGGCCGGTAAATAATCGTAATATATACAGTATAGATATATATATATATGTATATATTATAATGATGGTTGCCTATATTTATTATCAGTAGTTATATATGACTGCATGAAAGTAGTAACACTTAATACCAAGTATACTGTACTTATATTTGTTTACCCACCCAACACTAGTAATTACCCACTCAACACCATTTCTCGTTATACAAGTGTTATATACAATAGTTCTCAGCTCACTTACAAAAGATGATATTTGTATAATAGTTTAGTTGTATAATAGTTCATATATAGTATTATAAATTATATACAATAGTTCTAGTATTATAATATATATTATATACATTAGTTCTAGTATTATATACAATAGTTTTATATAGTATTACATATTATATACAACAGTTCATATATACAATAATTTTTACAAAAGATGATATGAGCCACAGTCGAAATGAGTCCCCTAAGGGCGTCAGGGCCTCCACTTGGATCCTCTGGATCATCCCTGACGGTCTGACTGTTTGCCTTTGAGAACGCGAAAAAAGTGATGCGTTTTCAAAAAAAGAATCGAAATTATATCATAGGATAGGATTATAACATATGATAACTTCAAGTATTGTTAGTAAATATGATAGCCCAAGCATATCGTAATAATACAATTGCTACCAATTACTACTACTATCACTACTACAGAAGAATAAGAAATAAAAGCTTCTTTTCTGCGATGGGAACACTAAATCAATTACAATAATGATCATGGAAACAGTCATGGACATGGATTGTATGAGTAGAAATAAGGATAATCGCAATAATAATGGCACAAATATCTGCCCAAGGAACTACTCACTGCGTGCTCGTTCAGGGACTCCCAGGACACAGTGCCCTGGTAGCCAGCCAGTTCATAGACCAACCTCGGGCCATTGGGTTTGATTAGGAGGCCCCAAAAGAAATACCCTCTGGTAAACTAACATAGCTATGGAAATCGCCATATCTCAGAGATAAATCATCTAAAAAAAGGGAATTATTTCCGTAGCTATGTGAGTTTACCAGAAAATAAAGCCATGGGCCATCGATTTTACTAAGAAAGTATGGCCAAAATGGTGATCCTTGGACTTCGCTGATTTTTAGAGATTCCCAGTGGATTGCCCATAAAAATGGGTGGGTTCATCAAGGGGAAGTATTGAAGAAATACTTGAAAAATAACACAAAATACTTCCAATACACAGGAAATAGTTGTCTTAGATAGTTGTCTTAGAAATACTATGACTTTATTTCATAGTTGTCTTAGAAATACTCAGAAAATCTAAGACAACTGTGCAATAGTGAGGTATTGTTTGTAATACTTGGCGGTTTGTTGAGCTCCTTGAGTTATGTGGTGAGTCCATTCCCAAAACTACTAAACGATCGTCCTACGTAACTTCTTAGTGACCAGAATCATAACCCACTTCAACATGGGACAACCAAGTGTGAGTAACCTCCGAGTAATCCATCCATACACCAGTTGCCCATTGCCAGGCAACAGATAGGCCAGTCCCGCCTTTTCTTTCACCTCCTGTTCACTTGCGACGGAGCAATGATCATTGTTCACCTGGCTCCGACTGATGATTTGGCATCTGAAAATGGGTATGCCACCACAGCAATACATCTGCGGAAGGGAAAATGATGAAAAACATTGAATTTGGCGCCCTATGTTCATGTCGGATCCACTTTCATAGAACTATATGTGTTATCACACTGTGTCTTCTTCCAAATCCTTACTGATAGCGCTTTTCTCCAGTGATATTGAATTTATGTGTTTAAATCCAGCGATATATTTTTTGTAAACACAACAAAACACACAACAATAAAAGTAATGTCGCTGGATTTTTTTGTACATCCAATTCATATCCAGTGATATGACTTCTTTGTAAAACAATAGTATACATTCTAGGACATATCTCCAATAAAACTGCAGTTTCTATCCACTTGATATCCAGTCCGTGACAGGAATGTATAGTATCGGATATGTACTGATAATCCAATTGGCATTCAAAAAATAAACATGTTTGTTCTTGGCATCTGCCATCGGTACCTTCTGCCAGCCGTTGCCGGATTTCCAGTAGGCGATGTAGTGGCCACCCTCCAGGTTGCCTCCGTTCTGATGGTTGAAACATCCCCATATAGCCCGTTATAACTAGATGAAAAACACATCATTTAAGTGATATATATATATATATTATATTATATATTATAGTTAGCATTGTGCTCCCCCGTCTTTCTCATCTAACCGCCCACATTATTATACAAGCAAATTCTATGGGGTTAATACCAAAGACAGGGGAGCAACACCTTATAGAAAACAACAACATAAATCATAACAACAAACAACAAAACAAAAAACTCAAACAACATAAGCAATACAATAGACTATAAAAAGGACTATACCATAAACCATAACAACATAAGCATAACAACGAAGAACAAACAAAAACAAAGCAACAAAACAACAAAATCCTAACAACCTACTATTCGAAGGAAGTTTAGAAGTGAAACTTCCGACAATATGGACAGTTGAAAAGCAGAGGTGAGACGAGTCAGAAGAGACAAGATCAGAAGAAAGAAGATGCAGATGCGCGAAAAGATAGGAAAGTCGCGATTCACTATGTTTTTCCAATGATTTGTGGCTCCGGAGGGTCGAAAAGTAGGCTCGCTAAAGCGGCGGGTGCGGAGCCAGCTGGCCAGATGAGAGATGAAAAGTTGCACGCCGTTGTGGCGCGAAGCACATCTCCAAGTCAAAATGGACAAAACACTAGAGGAGCGGACCACTTTTGGAAGTTGAGATGTCGAAAAAGTGCACGCCGTTGTGGCGCGAAGCACATTTCCAAGTCAAAATGTGCAAAGCACACCATTCTCGGACCACTTTTGGAAGTTGAGATGTCGAAAAAGTGCACGCCGTTGTGGCGCGAAGCACATTTCGAAGTCAAAATGTACAAAACACCAGGGGTTCGGACCAGTTTTGGAGGTTGCGATGTCGAAAAAAGTGCACGCCGTTGTGGCGCGAAGCACATTTCGAAGTGAAAATGTAGAAAACACCTCAGTGTCGGACGACTTTTGGAAGTTGCGATGTCGAAAAAGTGCACGCCGTTGTGGCGCGAAGCACATTTCGAAGTCAAAAGTGTAAAAAACTGACGGTCTCGGACCACTTTTGGAGGTTCCGATGTGGAAAAAGTGTCGAAAAAGTGCACGCCGTTGTGGCGCGAAGCACATTTCGAAGTCAAAAGTGTAAAAAAAACTGAGGGTTTTGAGCCTTTTTTGACGTGAAGATGTCGAAAAAGTAGACACTGATTAACTTAACTAACTTGACTAACTTAACTAACTTCACTAACTTAACTACCCTAACTTCGACGACAACAGCAACAGCAACAACAACAGCAACAACAACAACAACAACTACTACTACTACTACTACAACTACTACAACTACAACTACAACTACACAACTACACAACTACACAACAACTAGAACTACAACTACAACAACTACAGCTACAACAACTACAGCTACAACAACAACAACTACTACTACTACTACTACAACTACAACTACAACTACAACTACAACTACACTACACAACAACTACAACTACACAACAACTACAGCTACAACTACAACAACAACTACTACTACTACTACAACAACTACAACTACAACAACTACAACTACAAAACAACTACAGCTACAACTATATGACTGCAACTACACTACACTAATTACATTACACCACAACTACAACTCCACTACGCTACAGCTACAACTACAGTTGCAGTACATCACACTACATCCAGCAGTTGTGGGTGAGGTGACCACTGCAACCATTGCAACCATTCCAGCAAACACAACTCCAACCACCTTTCGGTCAGTGGATTCGCTCTGCCATCCGTGATTCACAACAACCAACGTCTCCTATAGGTTTCCTATTCTGAAACTTCCGCCACCGCCTTGTGCGGTACTACTGGTAACAAAGCCAATAACATAAACCATAACAAGCTCATCATATCAACCCATCTCATCAATCTCATCCGTAAAGATTATATCATATAATCATCATAATTGTATTGAATAATTTTCATCAAAGCATATACAAATACACATCATCTTACCTTATCTATTTCATAGGCGTTATTTCTAGAAATCATAATTGCTAGAAATAGTCCTAGAAAATAATTGCAACATAAATTTAATAGAATTACTTTATCAAATTTATGGAGGTAATCAGCATAATTTTCATAATCATTTATTATGAAGATTGTGGGATTAATTACCACAGTCTCCCCCTATAGGGGAAGCCTCAGCCCCCAGCCAATATACAATCCCACCCCCCAGCATAAATACCAGCATACATACAAACTAGCATATCACAACAGCATCACATCTTTCTCAGTCTCAAATCTCTTTTAATCCGCAATTACCCTGCCCAAACCGCCCTTCATGAACTTGTTGATGACCATGTCTTCTTAACCTCAGCGCGGTGTAAATGGCACAGCAATCCAAACTTTTGGGGCGAAATGGAGTAAAAAGGATTGTGCGCGTTCATACTTGTTGGCGCCAGTCTTCTCCAAGTTTTGGAAGGGTTTGTCTTTGTATCAGGCATGAATGCACTGAATGTCAAGCTTGTGAAGGCTCACTGGCATGAATGCTCGACTGAAACAATGCCTACCTATATACTGTGCATACAGACCTTTTCAATCAAAAAGAATCTGCTCAGAGCACTGCTTTGCAAGTCGCCCTGTTGGCGAAGCAAGCACTGAATGTCAAGCTTGTGAAGGCTCACTGGCATGAATGCTCGACTGAAACAATGCCTACCTATATACTGTGCATACAAACCTTTTCAATCAAAAAGGATCTGCTCAGAGCACTGCTTTGCAAGTCGCCCTGTTGGCGAAGCAGGCACTGAATGTCAAGCTTGTGAAGGCTCACTGGCATGAATGCTCGATTGAAACAATGCCTACCTATATACTGTGCATACAGACCTTTTCAATCAAAAAGGATCTGCTCAGAGCACTGCTTTGCAAGTCGCCCTGTTGGCGAAGCAAGCACTGAATGTCAAGCTTGTGAAGGCTCACTGGCATGAATGCTCGATTGAAACAATGCCTACCTATATACTGTGCATACAGACCTTTTCAACAACATTTGCAAACTGACCGTACACACACGGTCGTGCAACAAGCCCTCAGTCTGAGATTGACTGTCGTGGTCTTATTTTCCGTTAAGTTTTCCCAGCTCACGGTTTGCAAGGCATCCACAGTGTCTGTGCTGTTGGTGTCTGCAGCTCCAGCGCTCAATGCCAGGATGATGAGGCAAGCGAAAAAACGGATTGGCACCATGGAAATTGCCGACACCCCTGAGCTAAAAAGCGTGCCCCAGTGGTTTGAGCAAAAGATGCTGAGAAATGACACCAAATTCCAAGCTCAACCTGAAAGAGCTAATTTCTGTAGCTTTCCAACTGAGAATGTCAAAGATGCTCAAATTGAAACAAATTCTAAGGTCAAGCTCTCCAAGAATATGTGGCTTCAAACCTCCGACTGGCATATTCCCAACAGCTGAGCGCCCCGACAACAGGATGCAGAAAGATTGATGACAAAGCCAAGGCGAGGAAGGGCAAAGGAACATGGAGCAATCCCAGCCAATGACCCAGTCAAACACAAATTCGTGGGGAGAAACAAATGAAGGGCAAAACTCAATTGTCAGGCTTGGGTACCCCATCAAAGGGTATCTCATCAGCCATGGCTGGCCAGAATGAAAAATTATAAATCATATAAAAAAATATGATTGAAATATCAAAAAATATCAAAACATTGAAACAAATTATTAAACATTAAAACAAATTAAAACAAATAAAAACAAATTACTCCGTGCCCCGCACTTTTTTTTCTGTGCTAGGTTCTGCTGTACTTAGTCTTAGGTGGCAAGTCTGAAACAGACTAGAACATTGTTTGCAATCACCCCTGCTTGCTGCACCTCTGCTTCTTTCAGTCTATATTCTACTTTGTTTGACATTGAACCCTGCCAAAATGATGATGGAACTATTAAGATAGAATCTTTGTAATGATGATGCATATTAAATACAAGTTGTTTTAACACTTAATCACATCTGGGGTTGAGGGTTGCTCTGATATTAGGGATTGCTGGCAAGGGCCAATTTTATTACAATTGCAGTTACCCCAGTTGGTGCTTACAAACTGTGAACAATTGTGCACAGGACCTAGTGATTTCTCCACGGTGGTTGACTCCGAAGCAAACTCCACTCTACGTGTGATGGCCCCCAGGAGCACATCCTGGCACACCAAGAGGGGAAGCCCCTCCAGGGTTGCGGAACCAATTACAAAAACAAAAGTATACATAAAAAATTCAAAAAATGCGAAAAATTAGAAAAAAATGAAAAAAATTAGAAAACATTAGGAAAAATTAGAAAAAAAAAGGAAAAAATAGAAAAAAATAGAAAAAAAAATAAAAAAATACGAAAAATTACAAATTTTGGCACCTCCTGCGTCAAATTTTAGTATTCGATTTAGTCTGTGTAGACTAATTTTAGTATTGCTGCAATGTCCTTTTTTTTTGGCAGACTTTATCAGAAAATTTTACAATATATTGAAACATTTTTTGAGGAGAATTGCATCTAAATACAAATAAAAAGTGCCAAATGCTTACAATATAGCTGCGAGTAAATATAGCACATGCTTAAACAAGACAAGTACAGTGCGTCACAACCAATTACTTGATAATAGTGTATGTCAATACATAGTCAATCTTTTGATACTCTTATTACATTGGCCAGAAAGACAGTGCAGTACTATGTCACATCAGAATGTATGAGAAGGGGAGGTCGAGGTGGGGCCACAATGGCTACCAGGGTCACAGCATATGTCACATCATGTTTGCCCCAAAAACAGGTATGAAACATGATTATCATTGAAATTTAATCTAATGAAATCTAATGTTTCAAAATGATTTATAATTTGTTTTAATTTGTTTCCAAGCTGATGAGAACCCCTCTGATGAGACTCCTTGTTCTCACAGAAGAAAAACAAAACCACGAAACCAAAGAGCACATCAAATCAACCAGATCATGGTTGCACCATGGCTTTCTAAAAACACTAAATCTTTAAAAGTTCGTGCCTCATCAACAATCTTGGGTAATCAGTTAATTTGCAATATTTTTGGTTCAACTTTTCTGCAACCTCTTGCACAACATAATAACCTTTTAGCCAGTGGGAAGTTCTTTCTTTCTCTGTAATTGCTTTCTTTCTCATTATCTTTACTTTGTCTCCCACCTCTAATGTTGGGTATATTCTTTCTTTCTTTGCCTTTGATGCTACATTCAGCATTGCTCTGAATTCATTTTTATCTTTCCTTGCCTCTTTTGGTGTCATACCTGTAGCGGAATGCTTCATTTTATCATTGTATGTCAGCATAATTTCTAAATTGTAATCAACCCATAGGATGTTTTCCTTACCCTTCTTTTCATCAGCCTCTACTCTTTTAAAAAGCATATCTTTGTATGTGCGTATAAATCTTTCAGCAAATGCTGGGTGTCCTCTTGTCCTATGTAAGGTTATACCTTCACCTTCCACATAATCCTTAAAGTCTTCACCTGCTATTGCTCTCCCATCATCTGTATAAATCATTTTAGGCTTCTTACCCATTTTCCCTAATGCCTCTTTAGTTGCTTCAAGGACATCCTCACCATTTTTAGTTTTAATTGGAACTACAACGGCATACTTGCTTAAAACATCAATACACACTAACCCTCCTCTGAATTTTTGTTCTTTCTCAAAATCATAATATCCCATAAAAAAAACATATCTATTTGATAAGTATGATTATTTTTTGGTGCTACAAAGGAATTCATCCCTCTGGGCTTTGCTTTTATCTCAACATTTTTTCTAAAGAATTGTTCAACATCCTCTTTCTTGATTGTAGGTTCTTTCTTTTTAGCATCTTCTAATGTGGTCTTTCTTGAACCATAGCCCGCTTTATCAAAATAAATATCACTAATAATCTTCTGTTTATCACTCATTATAGAATAGATGATATAATAAGTATATATTATATCATTTATTCTTGCTCTTGTTGCTTCAGCCAGTCTTGGTGCTTTTTTGTCTTGATGTGGTGCGACCTATTTTGAAGTTGAAAAGAACTACCACAATCACAATCAACTATTGACATCAACTTGTCTCTGTTTTTATGATAGTTGTTTCTTCCTCTTTCATTGGCATTGTCTTTATTTTTGATATGCCATTCTTTGTTCCACTTGGCGCACTTTTCTTTGTTGTCTTTGTAATATTCTTGCGGTGTTCTTCCTGCCACTTCTTTATTGACACAAGCATTGTTTTTGATGTAATGGCCTTCTCTTTGTAATAGTTCAATCTTGGATTGGGTCGGGAACAGTTCTACCAGTTCTATTTTACAGTTTTCTACTCCGAATTCATCAAATAACTGACAAATTGAATGTTTATATGAACACTTGCCGTCTAAAAAGGTTTTATAGACACCTTTATGTCTCCAAAATTTTTTGCTCAATTCTTCACAAGTGCTTCCGTAGTAGCACTTTGTGTAAGCAACATCTGTAATTAAATATATTTTTCCTTTTTCATACTTATTGTTCTCCATATATCCTAAACATACCATCTCTTTAAAACCATTTTACATTGATATTTTATTTGAAAAAGCGCAATTACATTGAACACACAGTGGAATACAGTTGCTTTTATAATGTGCCAGTTCATTATTTAATCTTTGGCAACTAATATTTGATGAAACCTTGCCATCTTCAAAATCAATAACCAATGGTTCATTACAATTTTCACACTGGGTATTCATCATATCCATCAGGAAATCCACATCAACATACTCATCATCATCTATGGGTCTGTTGCTTTTCTTATCTTGCTCAATATAGTTCATTACTTTATTTCTAAAATAAGTTTCTACCCTTAACTTGCTCATATCATTTTCATCAGCATCATATTTATAAAACTTAACTCTATTCAAATCAGTGCTTCTTGTGATAGAAGTCCAATACCAGTTCTTACAGCAATACCACTTACTCCAATCATATATCACAATGTCATCATCCACTGAACAACCCTGTTTTGAATGTGTCGTGTAGCAGTAAGCATATATAAAATGTTTTCTCAATACTTTCAGTTCTATATTTTGCTTCTCATTAGTTGCCACAATTTGTAAAACAACAATATCGCCAACGATATTTGAAACCCTAAATTTGAAATTCACATTAAATTGTGTGCCTTTATTCTTAATATACTTCCGGCATATTACATATTCACCAATCAAATATCCATCTTCTATGCCTTTCATCTTTCTCATTTTGCTACTCACCTCCCTACAAGTCTTGTTTGTATAAGCAATGTTGTTTTCGCATATCTCATTGCCCTCACTCCATCCAAAATATTTTTCAATAATATTAAGTATAGGTTCATTGTTAAAAATCAATCTCTTAATATCATAAAGTTTCTTTCTGTCTTCTTCAGTCTTCAACCTCTTACATTCATAAAGCATAATATTATTTTCAAAAATCAAGTCTATACAATGGCCGGCATACTTCCCAAAAGACACAACATTGCTTACCCTCTCTGGGTTTTTTAATTGTTTTGTGTCCCCTGTTGCTAATATAATCTTATCAGGATTGCTTTTACAAAAGTTCCAGATGAGAGCCCACTTGCTTACATTGTGAAAGTATATCTCATCAAACACTATGACATCAACATCAGAATAATCAAACTTCTCAAGCCTCTCATCACCATAAGATATTCCAAAAAACTTGTTTATTGTCATTGCTTCTGCTCCACACTCTTGTTTCAAATTAACCCAGCTTTGCAACCCAACAGCATACCTGAATCTTCCACCTACGTCTTTTTTCAGACCCTGTGCCAAAATCCTGTTTTTTCAGCACCCAGAAAACTTTTCAGGACCTACTCTCAAATTCAGGACCTGGCCATTTTGGGGTATCAATGGTAATGGCAATCATTGGGTGCAAACATGTGAAACCAACATTTGGGGGATATTCAAGCCATTGGCATTGATCCACGCAAATAAAAGCACTCCCAGCCCAAACTCATGGCAAGGCAGGATCAGAATATAGTATATTCCAGAAAGTATGTCAGAATAGATGCCAGATAGGATGCCAGAAAGAATGTCAAATAGAATCTCAGAAAAGAATGTAAGATAGTATGTCAGAACATATATGCCACATATACGTCCAGATGATATGTCAGAAACTATGTCAGAATAGTGTGTCAGGGTGGGGATCACTCTTAGTAAGGTAATTTTGAAAATATATTTCAGGTTCGGAATTTTCAAACTG